GTACGTAAGTGTTTAGCAGTTAACATCTTCTGCTGTTTCATAAGGTTTCTTACCATGTTCTTTTCATTCCCGGCCCATTTCTTGAATATCTGTAAAGACTGCCCAGCATGCAACATTCCAGGGGTGGCGAACACAACCTGATGGAACAGATATCAAAGTCTCTGGCTGCTTTCTATAATATCATGCACTCATTTGATTCATTTCACAACAATCTATCAAGTCTTTTTGACTGCTATAACAACAGAAATGGTCTTAATGTCTTCGTAAAAAGAATCAGTTCTTGGGAATCGAGAATCGAATCGAATCTCAAATCTTTTGATTCTGATCACCAAAAAGACTCGAGTTCAGATTTGTTCACTGATTTTTTTCTGTGATAGATGTGGAAAATATTTTAAAATATTCCACAGTTATACAAACATATTTAATATTACTTTTAAAATGTAATTATTGTATTAAATAAAGGAAAATAGGATTTAAAGAAATAAGATTTAAAATTTTCATGTTAAATATTCTCAAAGGTTTCTGCATGTATCAGTTTATAATTATAACAATAATAATGCAAAAAGCAGAAGTCATAATAATAATAGTATATAAATTATCAAAGTATATCAATGATCAGATAAAAAAAAACCTTTTGATTATTATTAATTTAAGAATATTAACTAATTAATTAATATCCTAAAAGGTTTCTACATGTGTCATTTAATAATAAGAAATAATAATAGATAACAAAATATGTTGCATAATATAATAATATTATTATTAATTTAACAATAAAGAAACCCAAGAATATGCCACATAAAATTGCAATTATATTTTCAGATTTAAAGAAATATGATTTAAAAATGTAATGATATTATTTTTAGAACACTCATTAATATTCTAAAAGGTTTCTATATGTATAATTAAATAATTGATGTGATATATATTTTGCACAATAATAATAATTATAAAAAATGCATACCTGCAAGTCCTTATAGACTTGCAGATTATATGAATGACTTCATTGTTTTTGTAGCGGCCTCACCATTGGTCCAGGGTTATCAGCATATGAGCGATCAAAGGCTTTGATGTGCTTGAACTCAAACATGTTTCTCTGTACAAAGGTCTTGCGGATCTTCTGATTGGTCCAGGTGATGAAGAGTTTGTAGTAGTGATTGGCTTTCTCCGTCAGCCCGGTGGAGAAATAAATGGGTGCTTTCAGATTCATTCTCTCCCTGTTAAAGTGAACAACCACCAATTAGACACTGTTCTGTGCCAATATACAGTTTCCATTAGCATCCTTACAGAATATATCATGCTTATCAAGGTGATCAAGGTGAGCAGCAGCAATTTTACAAGCTCACCAGAATGTTTCCAACAAAATACAGAGTTCCTGTGCTCTTCCCAGAGCAAACACTGGAATCAAGACCTAAAACATAGAGACACCAAAATTAACAGGACATAAACACACGTCTGAGAACGTATGATTGAACTGACATTAAAAAATGGATAGTTAGCGCTCTAAAATCTGATTGGATGAGTCTCGTCTACCTTGCCTCCTCTTTCCACTGTTTCGTGAACCTTCTTCAGGAAATCTCTTTCCCTGCAGCGTTTGGAGTCTCTGATCGTAGTGGCATACGTGGATTCTGATATCAAAATATCTGGCCGGCATTTGTCAATCCAAGCAGCTCTGAGTATATAAAGTCAGAGAATTTAATGGGTTAGTTCAGCAAGAAATTAAAATTTAAAACACGTTTGAGCTTCAGCAATGTACGGAACAAGCGAATGTCTTTTATTTATTCCACACGTTTTGACGCGTATCTTCTTGTCTTGTATTCACACTCGAAGTCCATAAAGTTCCTTTATCACCGTTTATTCTTCCAAGTCAATAAAGATTCACATTTCTTACATACAGCATAATCCTCTTGCGCAGCGATGTCTTCTCAACAACTTATTTGTAGAGATACTATACTTGTGAGGCAATTTATGCTATATTATAATAAACGGTCAAAAGCTTTGTGTTCTCCCACAAAATAGGTCTTGCAACAAAATAGACGTCACTGAACATGCGCGGTAAGAACAAATATAAACCAAAGAAATATATTCAACAGTAAATGACTAATTAACTAAAATAATTATATCAAATTTACGCAATAAAAATATGAAAATATACATTTTTAAATATGAAATGTGGCTCTTACAAGCAAGAACCAATGAGGTTTGTTCTTGTGCGTCAAGCATGTTCGGTTGAGCTTCTGTTTATGTTCGCTGATCAATGTTTAAATGTGAATAAAAGTCTAAATTCAATCTGCTCATCATATAAAGCGATTGAGTCTCCTCAGAAAATTTGGACTAAACCGCTCAATTCATATGGATTAGTTTTACCATCTCTTTATGAACTTTTTGAAGCGTCAAAGTGGTAGTAGCGTAGCTGTCAATGGAGGGACAGAACTAGCTCAGGTTTTATTAGAAATATCTTAATTTGTGTTCAGAAGATGACAGAATTTACATTTTTGAGTGAACTATCCCTTTAAACATGACGTATACTTGAAGAGTTACATAAAATATGTGACAAAAAAGAGATTTCACTCACCCCAAATGTCTGTCTGGTGTCATGTTGTAATCACCCTACACAAATTGATTTAGATATAATTAGCAAATTAAGTCAATAGCTGGAACATTATACATTTGAGAGTATGCGATAGGTAATGTGACACTCACCGTGTAGACAACAGACTCCGAGCCAACTTTGATTTGAACCATGGCGGCTCCCAGCACATGACCTGCATAGTACGCCTTGATCTCAAGCTCTTCATCTACCTTGATGGGGCAAAAAAACAACAACAACAACAAATAAATAAGTCAGATAAAATTATCCAAAACATAAACGCATATATTTTAAGCTTAAATTACATTTTATTTAAAACATTTCCAATAGGGAAAAATGTACAATAAAAAAATACATTAAATTACTAAAATTGTTTATATCAATTAGTTTACTAAACCAGTTTAAATGAATGAATTAACTAAAATCATTTTAATGAATTAATTTAGACAATGAATTTTACCTGAACTGTTTGGTGGAGGTTGAGTGGCACAACTTTCTTCATACAGTCTTTGATCATCTGCGAAGTGAAGAAGTTGGTCTCTCCCTTTTTGTCGACTGTGATCTTTCTGAAGTCCTCCAGCAGGATGGGACAGATGGCTTTGGTGGGATGGGTCATGTAGATGGGCCCGTCGTAACCCACCATCTCGCTCATGTAGGGAAGAGCACCGCAGTGATCCAGATGGAAATGACTGAGAGGAACATAAAGGAGGAAAAATCACAATGAAGAAGAGGAAAACTCACACAACCGTCACATGATACAAATCAAGTATAAACTAACCTTATAATGACACAGTCCAAGAACTCAGTGAGGCGACCGTTCTGGGTAATGTAACTAAAATCTGGGAAACGTCTCTGAAATGAAACACAGAAAGTTAAGGGACTAGTAGATTACATAATTATACCTCAAAATACACGTGAACGTAGCAAGAACTGTTGAAACGCACATCATCGTTGTAGCCCATGTGCATCCCGCAGTCAAGCATAATGTTTTTGCCTCCGATGGAGACCAGAATACAGCTGCGGCCGACGTCCTGACCAGCCCCTGCCAGAAAACACATTCAGAAGAACTTGCTTTAGAACTACACCGATTCATATTATCAAATTATAAAGTCAAAATAATATATCATCACTTATATATATATAGTTATTTTAATGTAGTTCTAATGTAGTTATTCATAATAATATTAAACGTGACCTCATATATATATATATGTGTGTGTGTGTATACAATATATAGGCCTATGCACGCAATATGGTATTATTATATGGTATATATGAAGTATAATACACAATACATATGTTAAATAAATTTTTTAAGGTATAATAAGCACATTAACAAACACTTGAACACATAAACACGCTGATTAATATATAATAATATTTATATTACCGGATTTGTTAAGTATCACATGTTTGACAATGGCTTATTTATACAAGTTTTTCAGAAATGTTACCTACAAAATTAAGCAAACGTCTTACCTAAAGGCGTGATTTTGATTTCAGGCATCCTGACAGCTTTAAAAAGATCAGAAATCAATGTTATATGTTTAACGTTACAGACTGACAGTCAAACTCTAAGTTAACTGTAGATTAGCTGGATATGAACACTTGGTGGGTGCATGTTAGTCAGCTTGCACACTTTCATGGGATGTAAACCAACGGTGAAGATTGTATAAGCGTGTGGATATGTTCAAATAGTAAAACAGGTTAGCACACCAGCTAAACAACTTTAGCCATGACGCCACAGCATAGAACAACAAATGAGAAGCATATCGTGTGTGGGCGTGGCTTAGTGGCCCATTCGTTGTCTATAATTCTAAATAATAATTCTCTTATTTTAACTATTCACTGTGTATTTTCATTTTAATGGTTATTAAAGTCATTTACGGTAATTATTCAGGAGTAAATTAATATCTATACCGCTACTAAGAAGCGAAGCAAAGACAGACAGTTCACAGTGGTAACTGTTACTTTTCACAGCGCTGGTGAGGTTGGACCAATCATGTTCGTTTGTGATTTCTAGACAGGACTTTTTAAAAGTAATTTTCATTCAGATTTCAGGGGCGTATTTATGTTTTGTTATCAGGTAAAGATCTGTGGAGTTCATAAATTGAAAGCTTATAGTGTTCAGTGCATAAATGTCTCCAATAAGACCAACAACCTACAGATATTTGAATGCGGCTCAATGAGACTATTGTGCATCATAAAAAAAGCTAGAAAGAATTGACGTCAAATGTCACGTCGTTGCGTGAATGCGTCATCAAATTCCCCCAAACAACCGTAGACGGCCAAGAACCAACGTCCAATCACATGGCCATTGTATACCATGTGACATAAAAAATGTGATTTGATTGGCCTAATGTTGCCTACGTTGCTTAAAGAATGCAGGAAATCGCAGAAGAGAGGATCAAAGGGAGAGCAAAGCCTTTTAATGATATGATCCCAAAGAAGAGCATATACGATACTTTTTACTTGCTAATTAATAAATAAGGACTTTTATTCCCTGTTATAAGGATTAGTCAACAAAAAAATCTTTCGTTTATTTCGTGGTAGTTGAATAAGAAATTACAAAAATGGCAGATACATTCAGTCTTCAGAGGGTTTTAGAAACATTCAGATCAAGCCTAACTGAGAATAAGGAGGTTTACATTAAATATTATATTGCAGGATGGAAAGAGCTGGTCAGGTGGGTGCATGTTTTATTATTGTTTTACATAATGGTCTTATAGGGATACTTTGAAAAGGTTTGCCACGACTCTTGAAATATGAAATGATTTCAAGACCTGTACAATTTATCTCAATTCAAAAGTCATATTGCCCATTTAAAAGTGTCTAATGCTCAGACATAGAAATATCTAATAGCAAATGTCTGGAAAAGTAATGAAAGAATTAATTAGTACAAAAATGTATAAATACTGTCTAAATATGGATTGCCTGATAATGGAGTGCCTGCTCTTTTTCCATACCAGCTTCATGAACAGTTTAGGGAATGTGTTTTCCTTCATCTCCAAGGATGTGATCTGCAAAATCCAGATCCTAGAGAACTTCCTTTCAGGAGAAAATGGATCCCACTATGTCACCATCCAGTCCATGGTGAAGTATGAGCTGGAAAATGAGCTGGTGGACCTCACCAAAAGAGGCAGCCACCCAGAATCCGGTTGCCGGACTCTTCTGAGGCTCCATCGTGCTCTGCGCTGGCTGGAGCTCTTCCTCGAGAGACTGCGGACCAGCGCCGAGGACGGCAAGACCTCCGTCATGTGTTCGGATGCCTATAACGAGTCTCTGGCTCAGCACCACCCCTGGCTCATCCGGAAAGCTGTCGGCGTGGCCTTCTGTGCACTTCCAGGGCGAGACACCTTCTTTAATGTGATGAATGCGGGAGATCAGGTGCAGGTGGTTGCTCTGTTAGGAGAGTCTTTGCCCCTCATCTCTGAAGTATACCAGATCACAGAAGACTTATATGCCAAGAACAACCTCCTGGAGTTACCATAGATTCCTTCCACTAATTAATACATAGTTCTAGTGGCACATACTCACTTATTCACTATAAACATGGACTTATTTTACTGTCTGGCTGTAAAAAGTTCATTCATTTGGTTTGCCGAAGGCACATGCAATATGCAGATTTAATGCACATTTTAAGCAGGGATCTGCTCGTTTTACACTACTTTGTTGGCCGAGTGGACATTAAACGCTGGGTATATTTGAATATATTTGAGCATAGGGAACAATATAAATGTTTATTTAAAGCTACAAGATGTTTATGATATATATTTTAATTTAAATTTAAAGTGCTGTATATTTGAATATAGCCTATAGGTCATTTACCTTTTCCTCGAATGTTAATTATCTTATTGGTGATAATGTTATTTCACTTGAATTCATGTTGAATGTGTGTCTTTGCTGAAACTACAAGATTTGGTTGATATAATATGCAATGCATGCAATAATTAAATATAATAAAATCTGTGTTTTTGTCATGGTTATTCTTATATTATATCTTGCATTTAGAGGAATACAAACATTGTGTTTTAAACTTAAGCAACTTTAAAAAAAAACTTTCCAGAAGATGAAATGCAATACTTTTTACATTTACAATTTCATTTACAGTTTGACAAACAGCACACCTCTTAATAAGCCATTTATGAAGTGCATTTTTGGATATTATTCATATTTAGCACAAAGCTTCCATCCAAAATACATTTGAGATTTGCAAACTTTAGTTTACCAGCATAGATACTTAATCATTCTGACACATTAATGCCAACATCCGGCTGCAATATGTTAACTTTAGAGGTAATCATTGTTGAACTTTTGTTCACACCTTTTAAACTGCAATTATTAATGCCTCTATAGTAAAATTTGCACCAAGATGCACAATTATCTGGTCAAAAAGTCCCACATAATTTCATGAGTAATGATATGAATAGAGCAGACTTTTCCACAGCAGCACCAGTGGACTCAAATGAGAAGCATATTGAAAAGAAAACTAAAAAACAAATAAATTAATTCTTGAAACAGCACTGCATTGAAATACAAAAAAAGGTAACACTTTACAATAAGGTTCATTAGTTAACATTAGTGAACTACCTTAGTTAACATGAACTAAGAATGAACAATACTTCTTTAGCGGTTTTTAATCTTAGTTAATGTTAATTTCAACATTTACTAAAACGTTATTACAATCAAAAGTTGTATTTGTTAACATTAGTTAATGCACTGTGAACTAACATGAACAAACAATGAACAGCTGGATTTTTATTAACTAACATTGAACAAATATTAATAAATACTGTAACAAATGTTTTGCTCATGGTTAGTTCATGTTAGTTAACTAATGTTAACTAATGAACCTTATTGTAAAGTGTTACCAAAAAAACAAAAACAATAGAAGAAAGGAAAGGGGGAAATTAAACAGGTAATGGATGCCCAATAAGAAAGGTAAGAACATAATTCTTAAGAAATTCGTTAGTCTTATTATTTATGTATGAAAAATCTGAACAAGAAAGACTTATCTAGGCAGTATTAAGAAATTTGTTCTTGTGAATAATAATACAAAAAGTTTAACGGCATGGTTACTGCCAGAGAAATAAATAAATATATTTCAGAAAAAAGTAAATCGCATTTTTAGAAGGAGATAAGTTAGATAACAACCTGAAGGAGATGTATCTGACTGCAGTGGTAAAATGAATGTTTACAGAATACATATAAGTTGGAAAAATCTGCAAACGTGACCGTTTGGGACCTAGTTGGATATTGTTTCTTTCCAGTGAATACTGTCAAAAACGTTGTGCCAGTAGGTAATTGTTTACAAAAAAGCTCGCACTTCCGCTTCAGACGCGTTGCCACGGAGACGCCAGCGCGTCGCAACACTAGCGCCTGAGGAGAAAATGCCTCCTCGCTTGATCTCTTCAACAACGACTGAAAGAAGCAAAACAACAATATAAAGGTACGACATATCTAAGATTTTACAATATAACGATTATTTATTGAATATTTGACCAACTTTAACCTATAAACAGAACCCTATTGAAGTTATTTGCATTGCATAAGGTAACGTTAGTTGGTCTGTCTGTCTGACTAGCAGCTATCTATTTATCTAACGTTATCTGTCTGTCTATCTATCTATCTATCTATCTATCTATCTATCTATCTATCTATCTATCTATCTATCTATCTATCTATCTATCTATCTATCTATCTATCTATCTTGTCTTATCTGTCTATCTATCTGTCTGTCTGTCTGTCTGATCTATCTGTCTATCTATATATCTATCTATCTATCTATCTATCTGTCTGTCTATCTATCTATCTATGTCTGTCATCTATCTATCTATCTATCTATCTATCTATCTATCTATCTATCTATCTATCTATCTATCTATCTATCTATCTATCTATCTCTGTCTTCTATCTATCTATCTATCTATCTATCTATCTATCTATCTATCTATCTATCTATCTATCTATCTATACATATGTCTGTCATCTATCTATCTATCTATCTATCTATCTATCTATCTATCTATCTATCTATCTATCTATCTATCTATTTATACATATGTCTGTCATCTATCTATCTATCTGTCTGTTTGTCTTCTATCTATCTATCTATCTATCTATCTATCTATCTATCTATCTATCTATCTATCGATCTGTCTGTTTGTCTTCTATCTACCTATCTATGTCTATCTATCTATCTATGTCTATCTATCTATCTATCTATCTATCTATCTATCTATCTATCTATCTATCTATCTATCTATCTATCTATCTATCTATCTGTCTGTCTGTCTGTCTTCTATCTATCTATCTGATCAGAATTCAATGTCCTCTGGAGACAGGATGCATGTGACCAGACCCAAGTCTTCTAAGGGGCGCAGCAGACCCATGATGGCTCAAACTTTGAGTGTGGATCCACCTTCTCAGCCCTCGTCTCTTTCACCCCAACCTCCAGCTGCCAAGTCCAATGACAGGTCAAACCAGAGCCTTCGATCCCGAGCCATTCTGAGATGCGGCAGTCAAACAAGTACAGACGTACTCACTGACAGACTCCCGGATGAGCCTGTCTCACTCAACAAATACAGAGTTCTGCCATCCATAGAGAAAAAAACAGCTACTGACCGGAAGTTCAGTCAAGGTGACAGCAGCCACACGATATGTCAACACACGTCACATGTCCACACAAAGGCCCGGCAGGATGTGATGTCAGAGGGGACAGGAAGTGAGACAGAGGACTCAGGTCTGCTGCTTGCTATCAGAACTCCATGCGGTCAGAGATTCAAGTGCAATTTCCGGCCAACAGACCAGCTCCGGGGGGTCCTATCAGCCGCAGAGGAGGAATTCGGGGAGAGGTTTGACAACTGTGTGATTGAGACTATGGATGTACCACGCAGGACTTTTACAAACCTTACAATGAGCTTGGCTCAATGTGGTGTCCTAAACAAATCAGTTTTATGCATTTCCCAAGAAGACACAGATTTAACTTGAAACATTAATGTAGGGCAACTTTCTATGGACACTCGAATAAAACACAAAAATACAGATTTGCTGTCCGATAAACATTTCAAATTATGAATTACATACCTCATGATTAAATATGTGATTGTAAAATTTGTATATATCTAATCAGTTTAAGTTAAAAGAGTTAGAGAATGACATTACAAATAACATTAGATTGAACTGAAGGCAAAACAAATTTTTTTTGGGGTCATATTCATGCCAAAGTCAACTGGGAAAAATGAGTTATTACAGTTATCTAGATAAAAGTTTATATATTATAGATAAAAAGTTGTTTAGAGAAAATTAAACTTATTTCTGAGACCATTAAGACTTTTTGAACTGATATTATTTTCTTGATGATTAAAAACATTTCCCCAATATGAAAGTTGTTTTCTTTATGCAAAATAATGACAATGAATAATTCTGACACAAACTGCACGCCGGATGCATGTTCAAACATCTGCAAACTTGTTAAAAGTGCTCAAAGTGTTTCTCACAATAAATGCAAGGAGTTGGAAAGACCAAAAAAAAGCAACAACAACATAATAAAGTATGAATTCACGCTAAGATTATGACACGTGTTGGGCATTTAATGCTTGCAAAGAAGTGAAAATGATTGATAACAGCACACAGAAATGAGCCATCTGGTAGTTTTATTAATATAAGAATATAGAGGAAACAACTATAAAACCCTAAATGCAGCAAAAGTACAAAAAAAACTGAAACGCTAAATGCAATCGCAAATGGGTTTCAGTCAAACAAAGTGCATTACTTTGAGCCGCAAAAATGTAAACAAACTAAAATAATTTTGCTTTTCGCAAACAAGAGTAGAGCAGCCATTCCTAACAATATAGCTACAAAACAACAATCACTCTTCAGTAGCTCTTTGTAAAAGTGCTGCATTTCCTGCAACGGAACAGAACATGCTAGCAAATGTTCCAACAATTCAGTGCAACTTAAAACTCAAACTAATATTTGGTCTTTCTGAACAGAACAAAACAAACTCTTTCTTCCTCCACAAGGTTTTTGCAGTTCAAGTATAATGGCATCTTTATCACAATAATACTCTTAATAAGTCTCATTACAAAATGTCTATTTATTCTGAAGTGCTCTTGAGGAATGTTAGTTTTTTGAGTTGGTCTTAAGGGACCGTGTCATTTGTGCGCTTTATAATTTGGTGCGAATTAGTAGGCAAGCTGAAGTCTATGAAATCCCAATGGTTAATTATATGTACCCGCGATTCTCTTCCTCGCTGACTTTTCTCTTCTCAGATACTGTGATAGAATAAATACTGAAGTCTGTTATGATTCTATTCACACGTAAGACCAAAAGGTATTGCAACACTGCAAGATATGCTTCATTAGTCAAGTAGATAACAGACAAAATGCCTGCGTTAAACTGTCTTCAGTAAACAAGATTAAATGTAGGAATTAGTATTGCAATTCACTTCTAAATCAAAACACACTCTGTCAAATGCAAACTGACTCAAAAGGTCCTGTAATAACTAGAAGGTTAGAATCAAAACTATTTGGCATTAAGCTTTAGTCGAAGCGCATTCTTTTGATTATGCACCGATAATCGATGTAAACATCATAAGGTAACAGCAGAACTGATTTTTATGCAAATTATGTGGATTTCGCTCTTCATCACTTCAGTTGGCGATTCTTTCAATTTCGTCGAGATCATCCGTGTCCAGCCTCACAATTTTCTTATCTGTTGGGAAAAACAAACAAATAAATAAAACAATCCAATATTCATTTGATAATTATTCATTATATTGTCATTTATATACATTAATATCCATTAATTAATTATTCAATAAAAATGTGCATTATATATGTAAGGGATAATCCACGGCTAGCCATGCATTAAAGGATTTTAATGCACGACGTAGAGGCGCGCGTCGGGTGGTTGCCTCTACGTCGTGCATTAAAATCCTTTAATGCATGGCTAGCCGTGGATTATCCCGCTTATACCTCGATTGTTTGCCAAGTTAAAAAGAAGTTAAAGCAGTAACTGATGTTTACAATGTAATTTTTTTAACAGACGTGTAAAAATGACAGTTATTTTCTTAAGTTACGGCTCGTTAGTTCTAGCACTCCGTCCGCTTTAAATAAAGTGGAGCCATCGGATTGCTTTTATTTGAATGAATTATCACATTTATTTAAATTCATTATTAAAAGAGAGAGACAGAGAACTGAAAGAGAAGGAAGAGAGAGAGAGAGAGAGAGATATGCGTGCGCGAGTTACCTGTGAGCGTCTCTTCTTTAAAGTCTACAGTCCCCTCGTTGCTTAAGCATAGCTAACTTAATGATTCATGGATTTATTAAAATTATTTATGAATGACAGGCAACACTGACAGTGACAAGGCAATCTTTATTTGAACTAATAATGTCATTTATTTAAATGAATTAGCTGTATGTCAAACCAAACTTTTACACGGATGATGAACACTGGTGTCTTTTCCATTTTTCCTGTAGCGCTTTAAAACTGATTTAAAGACGGCATTGCTTGACTTGAAGTATTGAAGCCCATATGATGTTGTATTTTGTAATGTTACGGTTTATACCTGCTCTGAGACGCATCAAACTTGCAACACTGTATTCGCGTCCAGCGGTAGACTGAACAGAGGCATAAAACCCCCAGCAATGTCCCATTTAAAAGAGGCGCAGAGTAGGTCTCGAAATCACAATTGTTCTGTCTTTGACGCAAAAAGTCACTGAAAGTGTTAACTGCCCATTTAGTTGTCTTTTTCGTATTGACCTCATCTTTGTCGTCTTCGATCTTATCTAGCTCTGTCTTTTCCCTCAAAAAAAGCCTAAAACTTAAGTAGCCTAATATACAGTATTTCGTTGTCACCCTGCCTCTCCAAATGCAAAACTGACATTAACAAACTGCAATAATGCAGTAACAGCTGAAAAAGTACTTGGGTGTGTGTTTTATTTTATATTTACCGGTCAATAATGCAATCGCTGCTGTCTGTCCCATAGAAGAACAATGACAGCCAGGGTATGTTTTGGAACTATTTGGGCTTACATGAACCACGTGACAGCCGTCGCGGCGACATCAAAGAGCGTCGTAACTCTTTCTCTCTATGGCTCTGAGCCTACCTAAATAAACGTTTTCATATGTCTCGCTCTCTCACTCTTTTGCAAGTGTAACTCTGTTACTACGGTTACCAATGTTTATAGTAGCGGAATAATTTCGAACTGTAATCGAACTGACTGGAACTACCTGTGCATTAAACGGTTTTACTGCACACCTTCCAGCCAATCAGAATCGAGTATTTAAACACCCCGTGGTATAAATATATATATATATACACACATACACACTATATTATAATTAATAATAACATGTGTAACAATTATGTATATAACTCAGGGTTATTATAGTTCACTAAAACTAGAACAGAAACCATAAGCAGGTTTGTTTCTTGAAATAAAATAAACATTACAAATAAAATATACAAATAAACAGAGCAATTCCAAGAGGGTCCTCACACCATCGGTGCTTGGGCCCTAAAAAGGCAACATTTCTAATTTTCATTTAGTTTAAAACAGTTGAAAATAAAAATGAATAAACTAAAATCAACCAAAAACTATTAAAAATGACAAAAACACAACAAAATGACTAAAACTTAAAATGAAAAATATAAAAATAAACACGGATTCAAATTATTAATAAACACAATAATAGTATTTCAATGATACAACAATAACACTGATATAAATTATATAAAAAAAAGAATAATTATAAAAATTAATTACAATTTATAATTACTCACTATTTCTGTAATTCATTAAAAATAACAATTATTGGGTGAACTATTCTTTTAAGAGATAAACTAATAGACTTACTAAAATGCCTCTCGTATGTCTTGAGAATCTCCATGTTGCGCTGACTGTCCACCATGTTGACAGCGAGTCCTCTCTTGCCAAAGCGTCCGGTCCTACCGATCCGGTGGAGGTACGTTTCGTTGTCTGGATTGCCATCTTTGTCCAGTGGAAGGTCAAAGTTGATCACCACTGACACTTGCTCAACATCAATACCTGTGGATGGACCGCTTGATTATTTGAAGATGGCAGAATTTACACAGTAGCCCTGTTTACACCTGGTATTAAGATAAGTTGTGGCCGATCGGATCACAAGTGGATGACGCTAAATACAGGTAAACGGGGTCTAAACCGGTTTGATCTTGTCCACTTTTGACCACTTCCAGAGGTAGTTGAAAACTCATTCGACCAGATGGATTGCTTTCGTAGTGTGCAACAGCACATGTGGTCATACAGCCACTAAAGACGCCAACTCTCCGCCTACTGGGCTAATGGGTAAACATTATGGGAAGTGCGCTAGTCAGACAGGATTTAATCTTTGTCGGCTGAAGACCCAAGTTTGGTTTGAAGATGAAAAACGTACCAAGTACAATGTCTCACCATTCCTGATTTCTGACACTCACTCACAGCGTTCAGCTGGTCTTGTGGCTGTCAGAGCAGAAATTAAAGCTGATGCTCTCTGTATGTTCATATGCGCGCTCATATGTAAATTGCGAGAGCTTATTTTGTTGATTTAGATTGAAAGAGCTGGAAAAAAAACCCTATACATTTACCCGCCCGTAGACCCTTCCCTCGAAGAAATCAGGACAGAAGTGGTTGAAAGTGGTCAAAAGAGGCAGATCAAAACACCAGGGCCCGTATTCATAAAGATTCTAAGAATCCTCTCAGAAAACTCTTAATTTAGCTTAAAAACTTTTACCTAGGAGTCTTAACTTAAGAGCGATTCGGGAACGATCTGAGAGCAACTCTGAGTAAGGAAAAGACAAAAACTTTCATCTTAGTGAGGAGGCGGGGCTGACCCCGTTGCTATGTATGACACAATCTTTTGAAGACTGTGATTGGTTGGTTGTCCAAGAAGGGAAAAAAAAAGAGCCATTTTACTCACACACACACACGCACATTATATTTATGTATATAAATCCTTTTTTTTACCTTGCTGTTAATTTCCTAAGGTATTTGATTGGCTTAGAATGATAAAAATTGTCCCACTCTTTCCAATTACACTGATTGCTGTCTATTTAAGTGGTGGTTTAAATGTTTGTTTTAATATAGCAAACATGAATTAAAAAACAAGAAAGACGAGAAAGCCCGTTTGGTCAGAAGAACCGTGTTTACTGTTAGCCCAGTTAGTGGATGAACACTAGGCCACCATTAAAGGAAAATTCGGGCCGGGTGTCACAGCATGGAGCGAGAAGCGGACGTGGGAGCTTATAGCGCAAATTATTAACGGTTCATTGCCCTGCTTGTGCGCACCAGGGAAGCCTGCTATTCATAACTGCAGTTTTTTGAGCCTGCAAGGTGGGAATGAATGTCCAGAGGAAACTAAATGAAATACGACACAATAAGAGGTTCTGAAAGTGCTGTAATGTTTGTGATCACTGCTTACAGAAGGTTGTGACAGACCCAAATCACTGCTGCTTTATTGCATTTTCCCATTTGCCAAATATCTTAATGTAGTGATTACTTTCATTTCTGGCGTTATGGCATTCCTGCGCTGTGTCGGAGATATTAGCGTGTCTCTAATAAGATCAGTAACAAACATGATCCCTGCACGATCTCATCTATAGCGTCTTATTAACTCACTGTCATCCATTGTCTGCATCACATTTCTTCTCCCTCTTCATCGTTCTGCCATCTCGCCTCTGCTAAAGAAACTCTTAAAAGTCCTCATCCGTGCTCCTAACAATTTTGACCTTAAGACCTCTTTTAACCCTCTAGGCGCCACGGTCGAGTTTACTCGACAAGATGCGACACTGAATAAAACGGCCGATTTTGTCAAATTGGGTGTCAAATTTCGTTCGACCTCCCCTCCACTGGATGGCAGACATGTCATACTTCATCCCCGAATCAAAAAAACGTCATGTTTCTATACAAAATGTTCGAGTTAGAGCGCATTGAATCAGTGCGATCAAAAGCGGAGCTAGTGTGCGAGTGAGCCATTTTATCAGAGCCTCTCCGCGATCGCGGCGACAGTATTGTGGTGGAGACTTTGTCTAATACCACTGGGTATGTTAGACGAGGTCGAAGTATTCATAGGACAGTTAGGAGACAACGTGGAGGCAGGGTGAGGAGTCGCAATGACAATGACAGTAGTTCGAGCTGTGCACACTCGGCGCGCGCGCGAGGCAGATCTGGCCGCGCTGCTCGTATCATCTCACTCATGATCTGTGCGAGTGAGCGTTTGAACTAAACAGGTCTTGTCTACTTGTGTTTGTATGTCATATGAATAATATATATGTGCCCCATACATGGAATCAGAGTGCCTACTGTATTTAGTAAATGGAAAATCTCTACAGCAAAAGGCCAACCACTACATGCATTCGGTTTGTTTCTAACATTTATTAGTAATGATTTACACAGTTTGTTTACTACTTACTATATACCTGAGCATTCAGCATTGTGCAATATAGCATACAGAAGGTGATGGACATTTTTTGGGGAAAGAAGTGCTGCATTTTATAATTTAAACATTTGACTTTTTAATGAAAATTCTATAATCCAAGATTGCCACCACCATATGACGTCATAATATGCCAATTAGATGGGAAAATGTAATCCCTACATAAACTTTGGGTCATCCTTAATATTTCTCTAATTTACAGAAAGTCTCTATCTTTTATCACTTTTAAGATATAGCCTTTTGAAATCAAGATGTCGAAATCGAGCGTTTTAGGAAAAAACCTCTGGCGCCTAAAGGGTTAAGGGTTAAGATGCTTTCTGAATTACTTTTTTCTTTACTTGGGATTTTTTCTATAATTTTAAGAGTAAACGCCCACAGTTCTAAGAATTTTGTCACTAGGAGCTACTCTTTGCATTAAGATTCTTTATGAATACGGGCCCTGGTGTAAATGGGGCCATAGAGTAGTTATATTACAAATAATTAGAATAGCATATTCTATCAAGGATGTAAAAATCTGATTATATGTATATGAGGTAGTGTACTTGCCTCTTGCACAGACATTAGTAGTGATGAGAACTTTCTCCTTGCCATCTCTGAAACGTTCAATAACCGCTGCTCTCTGCTCAACCACCATTTCCCCGCTGAGGAGCGCCACCTGGTGGCCCTCTTTAGACAGCTGGCCGGAAAGCCAGTTGGCCATTTTTCGAGTCTGAGAAAAGACGATAACATAAGATGATTGAGTGAAAGAAACAAATAAACACAGAAATATCAACCAGAGGCAAACAGGCTCACATGACAGAAGATCATAGCTTGTGCGATAGTGATGGCTCCATAGATGTTGCAGAGCGCGCTGAACTTGTCCTCCTTGCAATTGCAGAGCACATAATACTGCTTGATAGTGTCCAGCGTCTCCTCTTCACGTTTTAGCTTGATGATGTTGGGATCCGGCACGACCCGCTCGGCAAACTTCCACACAGAGTCCTCAAAGGTAGCAGAGAAAAGTAACATCTGACAGCCTTTGGATAGCATTCTGTAAGAGACAGGAAATAAAAACCGTTTATACTCAATCTAATGCTAAACCATGTTGCCAATTTTTACATTTTAAGTTAGTTTTAAAAGTCTTGAACCAAAAAGCCAGAGAAGCTTAAGGATAAATGTGTTGTTATTTTTGTGGAAAATATGCAAAACGATTAGTGGGAAATAAGAATGTCAAGAAATGTTATCTTTGTCTTCATATAAAAAAAAAAAAAAAAAAGCTCAGATTTAATGACTAATTTAATTTAAAACAAAAATAAAAGTTGTGTAAGAAGGAAAATATTTTCCTAGCACCTCGAAAACAAGTGTCCACGGAATCAATTAAAAATTTTAAAATAATTTAAGACTATAAAAAAGTATTTATTTTACAAATATAATTTTAATCATGACTATTGTGATGTTTTCTTGGGGTTTGACCTAAAAACTTTAAATGTAAAAAAAGGTCAAATGATGGGACATTTTTTAAGATACATAATTTTGATACTTGAGGGTCATGAGGGGTCTACACATGAACTTGCAGTCATAATATCAATTCCTGCTTTGTCATTTTTATGTTACAACAACAAAATGGCATCCTTTCATGTTGGATATAAACAATTCTCAAATACTAACAGTTTTTTAAAAGAAAAATGCCTCTCTGCCAAAGTAAAAAGAAAAAAATTATAATTATTATTTTTAAACTTTAAGCAAAGTTCTTTCAAGAATTTCAGCATTGTAAAAAAGAAAATACACATTTTCAAACAAATATCAGATCAGAAAATCATGCACATATTTAAAAAGGTGTTATCAAGTCATTATATGAAATGCATTTTTAATGTTTTAAATAATAATAATAAATTAATTATTAGATCCAGACACACACAAAAAAAGTTCATTATAGATCATGTAATCAGCAGTCTGTCTGTATGCATTTGCCTGGTTTGAAAGCCAATTCTCCAAACACTAGGGAGAGTTCACCTCTGAATGCGGATGCTCTGGTCTTGGTGTCCCTGTGTGGCGATCATGACATCAGCCTCGTCCAGAACAAACACTTTGATCTTTTTCGGGTCGATGAGCTTCAGCTTGACGCACCAGTCCAGAACTGTCCCAGGTGTGCCGATGACGATCTGCTCCTTGATCTTAACGCCACGCTCCACTGACAGAGGGCACAGCAGCAATCATGCATTTAGATCTGGTTTCCATATGTTTACGCAATATTCTGAGGCTTAATTTAAGCCACTTACTTTTATGTCCTCGAACAGCAAATGCCAGTTTAACTTCAGGGTAAAACTGGCCCATTTGCGCGATGACTTTACCCGTCTGCAGAGCGAGCTCATATGTAGGAGAAATGCACAAACACTGGAAGAAAGACACAGATTGGACACCAAAGTATTATCAACATTTACTTATGACTTCATGCAAGAAGATATTTTGCAGATTTGGTTTTCTTTTCTTCCTTTTTTGAAAAACAAAAACCCTTTTTTGTAACTTTGCTTTTCATTTATTACTCATTATTATAGACAAGTGAACAGTCAGTAAACTAATAAGAATACACTAATTACAAGGCTAGATAAATACAATATAACAGTTAAAAATAAAGTAAGGTCTAACAGTAGTATTCAGGTACAGAAATGTAATAATTAAATGTAAAATGACTATATTGTGTTCACTGTATAAATTACATATAGATTAATCTTTGTTAAAGCTGTGTTTTTCACAGTGCATAGTGGGACTTTTTTAGAGAGGGAAGTGAATGTTTCAGTACACTGGTAGGATTTTGCGATTGAGCCCTTAAAATGGCCGACTCCCTGATCAGTGATCTGACTACTGATCTAGGGAGCTGATTCGAGATGCAGACACCCATAGACAGCAGCAGGTATTTTTAGGCTGCTGTCACTTTAAGACTATGCATGGATCCAATATAATGATACACATCCGATATATTTCTCAACTGTTTACGTTCACTTAAAGGGTTAGTTCACCCAAAAATGAAAATTATGTCATTAATGACTCTCCCTCATGTCGTTCCAAGCCCGTAAGACCTCCGTTCATCTTCGGAACACAGTTTAAGATATTTTAGATTTAGTCTGAGAGTTTTCTGTCCCTCCATTGAAAATGTATGTACGGTATACTGTCCTTGTCCAGAAAGGAAATAGAGACATCATCAAAGCAGTCCATGTGACATCAGTGGGTTAGTTAGAATTTTTGAAGCATCAAAAATACATTTTGGTCCAAAAATAACAAAAACTAAGACATAACCGAGATGAGACTTCCTGAGACAGGTATTTTGACATAATTTTGTGTGTCTGTATCCATTGCAAGGAGACATGAAAGAGGATCAATTTGGTGTTGCGCTCAATCCGATACTGTAACAGCGCGCAAGTACCGAATTGAGTTCTCTTTAGCCTTTTATTGCGCTGGAATGGTTTAAAATAGTTTGAATGTGTGAATTGGCAAGACAAAACGCAGGCAAATGATAAACTTTCACTCTAGGATAGTTAAAGTTTGCAATTAATCCTCAAATCACAAGCGTGCCGAACCGTGGGGCCAGGTCTGTATGGATCACAGATTAACTATGATCACCCAGTTTAGAAAGACAAGAGGCCAGGCCTGGCGCCAGGACACATGAATTGGGGGGCATTTATATTTCTCGGGGGCTGGCGATCGGGAGATGAAGCATTATCTAATAAAAATATGCACTAATTTGCATAAAAGTCCAGAACAGAAATCGGAACATTGGATCAAGTCAGGTTCAAAAATCTTGTTTCATTTTGTTGACATATTAGAGTTTAAAGATGGGATTTTGTATATCTATTTGTATCAATCCATAAATCAGAAAATACTGTCTACAGCCAGGAAAGAAAATTCACCATATTTTTTTTAGGATTAAAATGTTAGAAAAATCAGGCAATTTATATACAGGAAAAAAACTGGAAAGTTTGGTGTATGAGAAAACGGCCTTAAAAAATATTTATCGTAATTGAAATCTACAGATGCAGACTAAATGTAATAAAATAAACACTTAGGGTGCTTTCACACCTGCCTCATTTAGTTCGGTTGAATGGCACTAGAGTTCCTTTTCCCCCTTGGTGCGGTTCGTTTGGGCAGGTGTGAATGCAGCAATCGCACTCGGGTGCGCACCAAACAAGCGTACCGAGACCTCCTCAAAGATGTGGTCTCGGTATGCTTTCAAACGAACTCTGGAGCGGTTCGTTTCTGGTGAGAACGTGATCCGACCTCGAACTGACCCAACTGCCAAAGAACTGCACATTTTTGGACTAAACCAGCTGCCGTAGTCAAACAAAATGATTATTTAGATTGTCAATAGCGCTCCCTTTATATTAAGCCATGACTGACTTACCGCGTTCTGCACTCTCATCATAAACACTGAAGTTGTCCGCACTGCACAGTGAATATCTTATTTATATTGCGTCTAGACTGTGTTGTTTATGAGGGGATTTGCGAAAGGATAAAGCTCGTGCGGATTCTGAACATACATTGTGAGCGAATTATTCGCATGTCTGCCGGATTTTCCTCCTCTTTGTTTACTTCCAGGAGTTCTGTTGGAATTTTCTCGCACGTTAATTCTGACCAATCGAAGCGCAGTTATGGAAATATGTTCGAGACACATCTGGCCAACGAGTGATGTGGATGTTGTCACGTGACTGCATTTTGGTTCGTTTCATCAACTCATCAACTGATTCGGACCAGAGCAATCAGTGTGGTGTGAAAAGGAACCAAAACGCCTGAAAATGATACAAAGTATAATTTTTCACCCTTAGTCCGGACCAAATGAACGAACTACAGATGTGAAAGCACTCTTAAATGTGCATTTTGGATGTTTTTCTTCCCAGTTGTCTAAAATAAGGCAAGTTATGTAAACAAAATGGCCTAAAATCTCAAAATTGATCAAAGCCTAAAGAAACAATGGTTTTGCCTGTAGTATCTTGCCTTAGGTCAGAATGAAAGGGAACATTACAGTGAATCTCAGTTTTCAAACTCACCTGAGGCCATTTTAAGCCTGGGTCCACATGACTGAGCATGGCCAGCACGAAGGCGGCTGTTTTACCAGTACCAGACTGAGACTGAGCGATCAGATTCTGAGGTCTGCGAATGAAGGAAGGAAACAGTCCGTTCATATGAGTGTTATATGAAACTTACTTCACACTTATACTCTCAGAGATTTCACATAAACTTTATAATGGTCCAATATTGTGCATCAAATATCCAATCTGTGTCAATTACTGTACGTTTATCCAGAACGCCCCACTAATCTCAGTGAGATAAACCACATACGTCTCTCTGCACACGCTCTTTCTGCTCTCTAATGACAAACCACACTTTTAGTAAAACAAAACGAAAGAAATTAACTCCAATTGTGTGAGTATTAATACACACACTCACACAGTGTTATCAGCACCTTTTACATCAAAACATTGTTATGTGGCTAAAATGCAATTCACTTTTCGCCTCAAAACCTCAATATGACATCTGTATTCAACTAAAATTGAATGTATAAAATATATGTGGACTTACGGTTCGGCGAGCATCATGGGAAGGGCATTCTCTTGGATTTTAGAAGGTCTGTTGAAGCCCATTTCATAGACGCCTTTGAGCAACTGAGGTTTCCTGAGTTACAAAAATTGAAACTAATCAAAACATGCGAACCACCCAAGAAGTGTCGAAGCGTCCAAATATAGCGCATTGTCTCATTTCATAATTTTAAATATTCATTGTTCTGAATGCTAGCAATACAAACTCCCATTCAAAAGATAGGGGTTTGGCTCTAATATTCATCACAGCAAAAATACAAAAATACAGTAAAAACAGTATATAAAATATTATTACAATTTAAAATACCAGTTACATGATCCTTCAGAAATCATTCTAATGCGCTGATTTGCTGCTCAAGAAACATTTCTTCTTATTATTATTATTATCATCAATGTTGAAAACAGTTGTGCTGCTGAATATTTTGTGAAAAAGTTATAGTTTTTCAGGATTATTTGATGAATAGAAAGTTAAAAAGAACAGCATTTATTTGAAATAGATTTTTTGTAACAATTTAAAAAGTCTTTCACTTTTGATAAATATAATGCATGCTTTCTGAATAAATAAAAAAAGACCTCAAACAGCAGTGTAAATTCAGTTCTTTTCACTCAGATGTCATTACTTTAACACCATATGAAGTACTCACAGCCTCAGCTCCTCAAACGTCTTGACTGAATACAGTGGTGAGTTTGGGTCTCTCTGAAGAACCTCCACTTGGTTTGTGTTGTTGACCACATTGCTTCTGATTAATTTATTCAGGAGAGACTGTGTGGCTTTGTCCTCTGAAATAGCATATTTGCAAAGAAGCAGGCTTACAATGACGTTTCTTTTTACTGTCAATCAATAAAGCTTCAGTGTCATTTGAATAAATACCATAAGATGCAACCACACACACCTTTTAGACTACTTAAATAGCTCAACAGTGTTAAAGTCAGAATTATTCACAATAGCACTAAATGTGTATTAAGCAAATTAATTGGCTCAATTTTGATTTTATGTTGACTGTAACGGTTTAAAAATGAACCTTTTTCCTCTTCTTCGGGTTTGTCAACATCATCTACATGAGGGGAAAATAAATGACACATAAGAAAATGCAAAGAAGTCTTTTAATGCAATTTTTGCTACCAGTTGTCTTTTGTAGCAACACATCTCTATACATCTTTAATAGTTCACACACAAAAATAATGTAGGCCTACTCACTTTCCAAACCTGTATGTCTTTGTTGCTTAGAGGAACAAAAAAGGACATTTTGAGAGAAAGACTGATTGTTTCTTCTACCAAGAACCAGTTCATTTTAATTCAATGGAAAAAATATGATTCAATCAAAATAGTGCACCAAGGAATGCCGAGGTTATTAGTGATCATAGCATAATTTTGGTCAGTTTCTCATAAAAAGCTGCTATACAGTAAGTGCTGGAGAAGACTTGAAATATACCGCACAAGTCATATGGATATATAGCCTATATTTACTACTCAGCTATTTGTTTATTACTGTAAGTTAGATGTATATTTTTCAATTGCAATTTTGTCTATTTGCACACAATGCTACTATTTGCACTTTTAGCAGATGCTAAACTGCATTTCGTTGCTGAGTATTTGTACTGTGCAATGACAATACAATTCTATCTATCTATCTTTTGACACTTCATAGTGCTTTTGGATACTTTTTGAAGCTTGAAACCTCCAGTTCCCATTCAGTGCAAAAAAAAAAAAAAAATATATATATATATATCTTTGTGTTCCGCAGAAGTCATACAGGTTTGGAACTAACTTACATTTATATTAATTTCTGGGTGAACTATTGTTTTAATGCAATATAATAATGTTAAACGTTACTACCATTAGTCCCATGTAACGTTAAAGCTCCATCTCCCGCTTCCAAAACCCGTGAGTTCTTAATCTGTTCAAACAACATAATTTGCAGTTATAGAAAATATAAATGAGTCAATATTCACTAAAGAACATTCACAAATTAAGCATTTGTCAATAGAAACAACGGTCAATGATTTAACAGTTAAATCAAGTAACGTTAGACATATTTGAAGCTAGTTTAAGTGCTAGCTAGCAAAGACACGTAACGTTAAATTAACTTACACTCACTAGCTTTCAAACAGCACAGACAGAAATCACATAGATGATGAAAGTAATGTCCACTAACTTCATAGTTAAGTGGTTCAAAGTTAAACTGTAGTCCCTAAAATTTACACAGATTTAAAATCTCATACAGGCCGTATCTCAAAACCTAGTTAGAAAGCATTTTGATGGTCAAAACCGTGTTTGGTTCTAGGTAGGAAGCTCATGTGGATTAGAGACGCAGCCCATCCCTGACTCACCGCTGCTAGTGCGCTAATCCGTTACAACACAATTAAAATCACATTTTCACTCACAGACTTGGGTGTAGACTCTTGTTTGTCCACAGCTAAAGCCCACGAATCGGTTGACATGGCTTCTGTCGGAGATATATGAACTATTAAACGGTCTTGATAAGTCTTCAAAATGTGCTGTCCACTTCACCTGACTCAGCTCCACGAGGACGCGCAAACCAAACTGACAGTCGGCGCGCGCACTGAACGTTGTCCGGCCGGAAGTCAGCACATGTTACCCAGTTCCAGTTTACTATCACTGCAAACAATTTCATGTGTAAGTATCCGTGTTGTAGTCTAAACCAGTCTTAAATATTAAACTACTTTAGTCTGTTTTTCTAAAAAGCAATTTGTGCAGAGACAATTATCACGACATTTTCCACTGACTTCACTGTCTGGCGTCTCAGAGGCCTGGTAGACCAACCACATTTCCTTTATTATAATTATTATGTATTTTTTATGCATTAGGTTTAGTCCTCCAAAGTGTACACACAATAAATAAATCAATATTAAACTTTGAAACACATACACACATATCCACTATTTTATGTTATTTAACATCTAGTTAAAAATAAATAAATTGTGTTGTGTGTGTGTTTGAATTCTGTCTGCCAAATTACAATTCCAGCATATTCATATGGAAATTGATTTTCTAAAAAAGCATTAAAACTTGCCAAATCTCCCCTGAATAATCACTTTTTATTTATTTTAAAATGATGTAAAAATTCCTATTTTAACACTGTGCAACACCTGTAGTAACTGGTATTTTGGAAGAAATAATAGATCTACACTATAAAGGGATATAATACATATACACAATGTGTTTTGGCTACACATTTCTTGACTAATACCTTTGCTACCATCATATAGGAAGCCATAGTTGATGTAACCATGGTAATAAGGAGCAATGCAGGTTTTTGTCAGCGGTTACTATGGTCTTATGAGAAATTCCACAGTTAAATCATGGCTACTGTGGAAGTGATTTCCATTAAAATATTTAAAATCTTCTTCTGACCTAATTAAAACCCAGTATACAGATACTGTCAAATCTATCAAAATCCCCATATTTTGTACTATTAAGGAGCCACGTACTTCACATTTTTTAATTTAGCAGATGCCCCCCCCAAAGAAATGTTATCAGGTAGAAATCTTGTATATTGTCAGTTCTCATAAACCTAAGAAAAGCCATGAAGCTTCAACCTGATACCTCAGTTTTAGAAATGATTTATTAATTAACTAAGGTGCTTTGTCTCAAATACATTTTTGCATCATTCACAGCCAATATGGTTTTGTTTATTTGTGCTTGCTTATTCATGAGGAAATTCATCATAATTGAGAATCGAATGCATGCGTTCAAAGTATCTTTATTATTTAAAAAGATCATCATGTAGCTGATGTTTCTGACTTATATCCATAGCGTTCTGTATTTTTAGCCCGTTGGGTTTGACATATTTTCTTCTTTATTGCAGATGAAATGATCAACAACCGCTGCAGCCTGTTGTCTGTCCCGGCAGATGAGATAAGGGACATTCAGAGAGCGAGCAAGAGAGAGAAAGAGAGACAGTAAATAGCACATGTTAATTGAATTGTGAAACAGAAGCTGAGATTTAAGCCATGGCAGCACACATCACTAAACACACACACACTTTCTCCAAACAACCTGTTGTCTTTTAAGAAGCCCTGGAGGCTCCATATTGATTGTCATGGTTACATCCTCTGCAAAAGCAGATTAATCACACATATGCCACAGTCATATTGAAATCAAGATAGTGAGCTTAGTAGTCACTGGAGGGAAAACATGCATGATGGAAGGACGGACAAAGACAGAGAGGGAAATATGCATGATCTTTCGCCCTCCCCTCGTTTCCCCCATGCATGATGTTCATTTCAGCCTGTGGTACCCCGGCCATCAAATGGGATACATGAATGGGCTCTCGTCACTGATTACGGAGAGACCGAGAGGTGGAGGAGTGGGTAGGTGGGTGGTACAGATGCTGAGGGGAGAATTGAGCGTTGGCGGGGGGTGTGCTGGGGTTCCTGTTAATCTGTTGCACAGGACAGCTTCCAACGCCTGTGTTTCTGCCACAGCTCCTCTGAGCTTCATAACCACATGTTGCTGTGCTGATTGACTGCGTTAACGTTCCTCCAGCTGCTTCTATATCTGTCGGTCTCTCTACCTCCCTCCCATCTTCGTTCTGCTCAGTTGTTGTGTTCATCTCCAAGAGGCAGAGAGCTTTCCGGAGTTGCAGCCGATTATTTTGGACATCACCAATGCAGGCATCGAGAGAGGATTGTGACCAGATGTGAGGTAAGAGTCCTGCTTTGCAAAAAAGTGCACGAGGAACTGAACTCTGAAATCTTATGGTGTAGTAGGAGGCATTTTGTTTTAGGTTTAAGGTGAATTTGGGAAGTGTTTCGAAAACCTCTAAAAGAGATTGCACGACCTTGCAAAGTGATGCATCTGTAGTCAGCTGATGGAGATGCAGGATCAACAGGTGGTTGTTTCTGTGCCGCGTCTCCCGCGGTGTGTGTGGTGGCAGCCGTGGAGTGCGTGTAGTGGGGGATTGGGCTCTTTTTCGTTGGGAGTGATTCACACTCCATTGAGGATGGATGGGAGGCGGGGGTTGATCATTGTCTGTCACTTTGGGTTCTCCTCATTTGGGTCCCCTTGAATAGAATATGGAAGAAGACCAGAAAGAAATTTTTTTTCATGCATTTTCAAACAAAATCAACCTCGTCATTGAGGATGAAATTGATTTTGTCCTTTACCTGGCCTTTTCGGTCTGCTAGGGTTATTAAAAAAGCTTAAATGATTATTTTGTGGTTTTAATATCAACGTTTTACTGAAAGGTTTCCAAAGGGATTTTTTTTCTCCGCAAAGATCAGTTCGCTTAAAAGAACCATTTGTTTTCTTAGTGTGAAGAACATTTTAATAATCTAATCTTTGTTTTCAACTCAACAATGAGGAACCTTGTTGCAGTGGAAAGTTTCCAAAGGTTCTCCATGGAACCATAGAAGAACCTTTATTTTAAATGCATGATTTATATCATTTTTTCAGATGATATTGACACCTTTGCTTTGTGCAGAAATGCCCACTCCTCTCAGGACACATGATGGCAGTGTTTGACCGGTTTGCTGTGTGTGATGGCAGTCAGGGGTGAGGGGGAAATCTATTGTCCTCTCATCTTGTCACGAGGCACTGTGCCAAAACCTAATCCATTAGAGAGGGGGTGGCGTTCCTCTGTCTCTGAGTTATGGCCATGTGGACACCTCGATGAAAGCGCCTGTTTCTTTTCTGTAATATCGGGAAGCTGTTTAATCTCAGACATTTATGTCCTCTGAGAAAAATTGCTCATAAATCTGGAAACTGGCCAAAAAACAAGTGAAATTTCCAAAACACTGACCCTCTGTGGAAGTTAGATGGAAATTATAGGATTGATATAAAGTTAAATCATACTGCAGTTTGCTTTTAAAATACTGTGGGATATTGTTGTTTGCTCAGACCTCAGGAGACTTAACGAAGTAGAGAGTTTGGGAAACCTGTTTGGAAACCATCATCATTTTCTTATAATTCTGTTAGATGACTTGAGCTTTGAATATAAGCTTTATCACAGATGTTTCTGTGATAAAGCTTATATTCAAAGCAAAAGTCATCAAACAGAATTATAAGAAAATGATGATGGTTTCAAATAAACAGAGACACAAATGTTGATATTTAGTAGGACTATAACATTATAGCATTAATAGTTGTCGATATTGGCTTTTTAATGCCTGATGCAATTGCTGTCACAAATGGCTGGACCAAATCGCAACAGTTGATTTTAATTAACACAAAATCAAATTAACACTCAGAACTCTTGAAAAAAGCAAACAGAACAACCACTATACACTGACGAAATATGGATTAAGGACACTTCAAACTCAGGGAAATATATACAAAGGATAACCAAAGGGAGGAAACAAGAAACAGGTGTGGCAACTTAATCAAACAATGAGTAACCATAGCAACAAATACAAACAAAGGAAACAGAACTTGGAAACAATGAAAAACCAACTCAAAGTCCATCTCAAACACAACAAACATGATCTACCATGACAATTGCAAGGTGTCTGACAAATAATATAATGTTTATGTCTTATAATGAATTCAAAAGAGATGGCAAATTAATATTAAATATATTAATGTTAAAAATACTGATATGAACACAATTTATACAATATCTACCGTTCAAAAGTTTGGGGTCAGGTAGAATTAGTTTTTAAAGAAAGAAATTAATATTTAGAAATATTAATATATTAATATTAATATAAAGAAACTTTTATTAACTCTTAATCAACATGCACCAATGCTTAATTTTCTATAGATTGTAATCATTATGTTTACAACTTGTAATAATTACTTCAATGAGCTCATTGTTTCTGCCTTATTAAATTCATACATTGTTAGATAACTGTGTGATATGTATATGTACATTTCTGAAATACATTACTTGCACACAGACACTCTAAATTGTAGATGCATGCATTTTCTGTATTGTGAAAAACGCTATATAAATAAAAGTAAATCGAATTGAATTCCGAAAGGATGCATTAAATTGATCAAAAGTGCAGTAAAGACAATTATAATGTTGCGAAAGATTTCTATTTCTATTTCAAATGCTGTTCTTTTGAACTTAATTCATCAAAGAATCTAAGAAAAAATGTATGACTTTCAAAAAAAAAAAAAAAAAAACGAAGCAGTACAACTGTTTTCAACATTCATAATAGCCAGAAATGCAAATTATCATATTAGAATGATTTCTGAAGGATCATGTGACACTGAAGACTGGAGTAATGATGCTGAAAATTCAGATTTGCATCACAGGAATAAATTACATTTAAAAAAAAAATCAAATTGTTTTTAATTGTAACTGTTTTTACTGTATTTTTCATCAAATAAATGCAGCCTTGGTGAGCATAAGAGAGTTATTTCAAAAATATAAAAAAAATAATCTTACTGAGCCCAAACATTTTTACGTAGTATAATATAAAAAAATGGCCAAATATTGTCTATTACTCGACAGTATAACTCGGTTGTGGAAAGATTTAAGCTCATATTGAATCTGATTTTGCACCTGAGCACAATGTGAGGCATTTTTGCAGTATTTTCTGAAACTCTATTGTGGTCTTCAGACAAATCTGAGAAGCATGTTCAACAAAAGACTTTTATTCTCATTGCTGTGTAGAAGAATTAATTGAGATATTTATGTACGGTCTAATATAAGAGATCTCATTTGTGAAATTGTTATTGCTTGGAGATTTCAGTTTTAGTCAAGATCTCAGATATGTCTAGGAGAAAAAAAGCAGACACAAATAAAACAATTGATGACATGAGTACAGAGAAATAAATGAATGCGGATAACAGCTCAGATAGATTGATCTTGGAAGAGGGTTTGAGTTCATATTGAGACCTTTGATTGCAGACTTTGTATTTCTGCAAATCTGAGCACAGTTTGAGACATTTTTCAGAGAGATCTGTTCTGAGAATATTGATGTCCTTTTCCAAGGAGAAAAATCTGTGACGCATTTGCTTTCAATTTCAGTCCCATTACTGTCTAGGAGAATCAACTGAAAAGTTAAAGAGATCATTAAAGAGGTTTACATCATGTTAATCGCTTTTTTCTGGAACAATCATTAAGAGGACTGAGACACAGACGGTGATCTGTATCGTATAACTCTTCTGGTTTTGTATTCCCATAGTCTGAAGTTCTCTGCGCTGACCTCAGGTAAAAACTGACGAGTCATGACATCAGCTCTGCATCTGTAACAGTGCCAGTGGCTTTTTGATGTGCCAGAGGTTTCTGTTCCCTTTGATGGTGCTGAACCAGACCTGAGCTGTGTGTGCCTCGAATCCATCCGTGGGACGGGGGGGGGTGGGGTGGACCTGTCAGAGGACTTCATTTAGACTCCAGAGAGGCATCCAGAGCGATACGGATAATGATGTTATCCTCTCATCTTCATCAGTGCTGTAGGACAATGATGAGTTATGATGTGTGACGTCTGTGAATATGAATGACTTGTTTTTTTACAATGGCCACAGAAACACTGGACACTTAAGCCACACATAAATTGTATAAATGTCACTGCATTAGATACGAAATATCCAACCATCTGGTATTTATTAGAAGGGGCAGATTTGCACAAACACACCTTTCAAACAGAGTTTGTATGTAGGATATAACAGTAGATGTTCCGGTCAAAATGTATTTTTAGTCATTTTCTGGTGAGCAAATGTTTGTCGAACATGTCCTGTTAGTATTTTTTCTTTTTTTCAGGTAATATATTTTGAACTAAGTTATATTTATATTTTCCATTTTTGACCTTAAACCTCACAAAACTCTATTAGATTCATGCTTAAAACAAAACACAATGCAGTACATTTTTTTTATTATTATTCAGGTCTTTCAAGTAAATTTAACTTTGTTTTAAGGATTAAAAGACGTTCATACAATGTCCAAAAGCATAAATAAATATACACAGGTCCCAAGGAGGGAGGAAGGGAGGGATTGGTTGGTTCATTTATTCATTCATTCTGCAAGACATATTGTAAAATATGGTTTCAATCTTATCTAGCCTTTTTAGGGAAACATCACCTATCGCCTCCTCTACTGGACAGAACCACCATCATGCCAGGCCTGATCAACAAGAGCAAACGGAGCGCTCTGCCTCTCAGCGTCTCTGACATCACTTCCTGTGTCAGGGGTTACACCCTGGCAATGACGGCCTCTTTGACCTATGAAAACATTGAAGATCACCCTGTCGAGGGTGAGTATGCTGTCTAATGGATGCATTACTACTTCTGATATGATATCCATCATTAGTGGCTCTTCCTAAGGCATTAGTATTACACTCAAAAAATTAATTAGGCCTAAATTTAAGATTTATCTATTGCGTATACAATTTGGATGACACAGTTTTATGTAATCTGATTGTCAGACATAAATAAATGAAACGGGTACGATTTCTCAGTACTAATAAACTGAATGTGTTTTAAATGCACAATAACCAGGTTTATATATTTATCATCAATAAATCCAATTTGTTTCTATTTCATAAATTTTTATCTAATTGAATATTGCTTGGTCCACAGCTAGCCACATTTGATCCATGTTTTTACTTTTTACTTAATAAATGTAATGTTTCACAATGAACAGATTTATTCTGATTTGAATAAATGCATTTAGAAAATATGATGATTAAAATCAAATAGATGCAAATAGTTAATAGCCATGATTTTTTTTGAGTGCAGAAACAGAAACATCTCATTAAGTTTATGACTTGTTAAAACTGTGTAATCCAAATGGATGGAAATTTTATTTGCAGGTCAATTACATACAGGTAAATCTTAAATTTAGGCCTAACTATTTTTTGAGTGTATATTGCTCATACTTAAGGGATTTGAACCTAAATTTTAGTTTTAAATTTGCCATGTTACTCTTCATAACTTGTTCCAGTTGATCCAACTTCGATGACTAAATATAATCTCAAAAGATGCATAATCAGGTCCTGAACATTGTGTGTTGGCTCAACAAAACAAATTAATGCAACAATTTGTTTTGTTATGACAACTTCGAGTGAAATTACGTTCAACCAGCAAGCTACATTGAGTTAGAAGAGCTTACATTTTTTTTAGCATAAACGGAATACTTTTTTTTTTTTTAAGTACTAAAAAAATGAAGTTGCTCCAACTACTTGAGTTGTATTCCTGGAATCAATTAATCTTATCTATTTCAGTTCAAATCCACAGCTATAGCACATGCTTAATGTAACTTATTTGGCATTTAATGAACAAGTAAGATATTACTTTTCACTGGCTTTAGCTCAGTCATTGCTTATAGAGTCAGTGTAGTGTTTGCATTGCATTCATGTCGTCTACTCTTCAGCACAATGGTAACCACAAAAACTTCAACATTACAGAAACTCCTTTAAATGTCAAACATAATATTATTAAACACTAACAGGTCTTTTCTTTCATTAAAAAAACCTAATAAAATAACACTTAATTTCAACATTTATTCTACTTATCCACTCCTACGCAAAGGATGCTGGGAACTACAAATCCACTGCCTAATTTCTGAAGTTATCAAGACGAATTCATTAAGTTACTACAACTGTATTTTTTTTAAAAATCAACTAATGCAGAAATTTTTCTTTACATTACACACAATATTAAGTTGATTCAATGATCAAAATTATTGTGTCAATAGAAGTCTTGAGTGAATAATGTTTGCAATTTTAAAAGGTTTCATTAAACAATAAATTAGAATTTTTGCAACCATGCATTTATTCAAAGATAAATGAAAGGTCACCCAAAAATTAAACTTTTTGTCATCATTTACTCACCCTCAAGTTGTTCCAAACCTGTATAAATTTCTTGCATGAACCGTGAAGGAAGACATTTTGAAGAATGTTTGTAACCAATCAGTTACTGACACCATTGACTTCCATAGTATTTCTTTTTTTTATTTTTATATTTGGGCGAACTCTCCCTTTAAGTTATGGTAACAGGTCCCCTGAATTACTTTTTAGAGAATATTTTATGACAAATCTATTAAAAAATACAGCACTTCACTTTATCCATTTGATCAATGATAAGAATCAAGAACTAATTTGTCATTTCTCAAAAGCAATTTGGGACGAAATGCATCAAACTCTTTATAATCACAGTAATACTTTCTCAAAATTCCCTGAAGGGAAAAGAAACACTTGTCTTTCCCTCCCAGCCTCATCAGCTATATTTGTGTGAAGTCTAGAAATGTCACTGGCACACTGCTGCTCTGCGGTCTCCAGTGTCGTATTGACTCCAACAGATTGGATTTTGCATTGGTCAATGCTGAAAGCACTAAAACGAAGGATTTAATTTCTGTCAAGTGCAAAATTAGCTTTGTGGAAAGATGGCCTTTTGCTATTGTGTAATAAACAATGCATTCTCCTGAATCACTTTTTTCTAATCCTCTTCCTGTGATTCATGCAGGAATCTTTATATATCCTCTGGACGACTGCAGCGTGGTGGTCGGGTTCGAAGCGATGATTGGCAGCCAGATAATAACCGTGCAGGTCAAAGACAAAGCGAAAATCGATGACTGTTACTTTGATTGCTGCAATGCCAATGGAACCCCACAAAGCGGAGGTGGTAAGATTGCATGCTCATCAAAGATCTGAGTTAATCCCCAATTCACAGCTTAAACGGAAGGCCTGTCACGGTGTCTGTTGAATCCAGTTAACATGCAAAATCCTATTAAGCTCTTTCATTGACGTTGACTGTACCTTTCAGAGGCTTTACTGATGAATCATCTTGCTGCAGGACATATCGTTTTGGACGAGGATCAGGAGAGGACCGTGCTGGTGGTTAGTCTGGGGGTCATTCCCCCTCTGGAGACCATTAATATACTGGTCAGCACGTCCTCGGAGCTCAGCACACTCACCAACGGTGGAATCCGGGTAACCTCGCCGCCCGTCTGCTCTCCAAGAGTCCAACGTTCTGTCAAAGAGGAGCAGGCGTTTTCGCCCAGCACTGCTAGGAGGTTCGGATTCATTAGTGTTTCATTTTGTGATAATTATAGTATTTGAATGGCAATCCTGTATTCATAATCCTCAAACATTCTGGCTTCTGTTCTAAACTCCAAACACTAGTAGAAGTATTAAACTTTGCAATTCATTCAGCTTGAACTGCTTCACATACTCCAATTTAAAGTCTCAAATTGTGTCTGGTAAATCATTTCAGCTTTATCTATGCTGTCTATTTTCGGGTTTTCTAAAACGTTAAAGTTTTTAGGAAATTTAGGATTAAAGTCTAAAAAATCTACCATTTTCAGTGTAATTTCTGCATACTGAATTGTGATTGGTGTTCTTTCTTGCATGTATTTGCATACAGATATTTTTTCCTTGTATATATATTTAATCTCTATGTAGCTGCATTTAATTTATGCAGAATCACAACACCACCTCAAATGAAAATTCTGTCATTTACTAACACTGTGTTACTCACACAAAATGTTGTTTCTAATCTGTATGACTTTGTGTGGAACACAAAAGAAAATAATTTGAAGAACTTTGGGAACCAAACATATTTGGACCCCATTGACTTACATTGCATGAAAAAAAGGCAATACAAAAAATATTTTTATATGTTCTACAGTATAAAGAAAGTTTGGAAGGACAATTTTGGGATGACATGGGTAAAGCAAGAATTTTAAATCTAATTGAGATGAAAAAACAAAAAACAAACTCATATAATACAGATATTCCTCAAAATCTCTTCAAAATACAGATACTCCTCAAAATATTTTATTTTATGTTATACAGAAGAAAGAAAGTTTTGTACAAGTTTGGAATGGCATGAGTAAATGATGACAGACTTTTCAGTTCTGAATGAACCATTCCTTTAAACCATCACCACTGGTCTTTTACTGCCTTGTAAGCACTGCTTTTTCATTTGAGCTCATTATACAGAGTCATATTATTACCTCCTCATAACTGAAAATGAAGCTTGAATGTGTATCTGCTGATTTGTCTCAGGAGGGATCAGCATCATTGTGCACAGGGAGCACACGAGCAGACGGCCTCAGGTGTGTGTTTGGCTGCTCTGATGGAGGAAGAGACCATCAACTCCATTGACTATGAGTTCAACTTCCATCTTGAGATCAGAGGACCGTATTTACTGGCAGGTCAGTTCCTCCATCCTCAAGCATGAGTCTGGAATTAAACAACCCTGATACCCAGGATCATGGGCTTGATTTCCAGAGAACACAAATACATATGTAACAAAAATACATGTGAAATGTTAAAAATCATGAATGCACTTCAACTTTATTTGGATTAAATTGCCTGGCAAATGCATGGAAGCTAGTTCCACCATGGAATAAAATAAAATAAAAAGGTAATTGCGAATTTCTTATATTTCAGACTTTTTTCTCACAGTGTGCAAAATTGGCAGCATATATTTTACACTTATGTATTTATGTGCAAGCTTATTTCTGCCATGGAATTAAAAAATGCGACTATAACTTCCAAATTTATTTTATTTTTAAGTCTTTCTCGCAATTCTTAAAAAGAAAAGTCAGAATTGTGAGATTTAAACTCGCAATTGTGAGTAAAAAAGTAAGAATTGTGCGATTAAATGTTGCAATTACCTTTTTTTATTTTTTTTTATTCTGTGGAGGAAACAAAAAATAAAACAGAATTGTGAGATGTAAACTTGCAATTACAAGTTTATAACTGCAATATATAAACTCGCAATTGTGAGATATAAAGTCAGAATTGCAAGAAAAAAAGGGAGAATTGTGAAATTAAGTCACCATTTTTATTTATTTTTTTATTCTGTGACGGAAATAAGCTTCCATATAAATGCATCATTTTTATAAACATATGCTGCCAGTTTTCTAGCCCAATTGATGTTTGATGTGTGGATAGTTTTAAGAGTTGACTTTTCACACTGATAACATGTATATCTTGAATACACATCCAGTTGCGTTGGATAAAAGCTCCTGCCAAATTCATAAATGTAAAGTGCAGCAGATGCTTGTCATTTCAGCTGGGACTCAAGCCCAAATGATGTTTAATGTGTTGATTGTCTAGCTGTAATACATGCATCTTCCTGCTGGAGTTGCGGAACGGTTTAGTCCTCGCATGTGGCCTAACGTCTGTTGCTCCTGCTTATTTTAGATGCTTTAGAAGTTTCTCTGTGCAGGTGTGGAAAGCCCCTCGCATGCCATCCGTGCGGACGCGGACCCTTCGGCTCGCTCTGCCACCAGTATTGTGGTCACACTGGCAGACAAGTACACCTACGACTGCCCTGTAGAGATACTGATCTACCCCAGTGGTGTGTAACACACATCAATACAGTAATTGTATATCATGATCTCAATCTACAGTATGAAACAGATAATGCTGAGCTAGTTCTTTTTAGTGAATCAAAATACAGTGCAACTAAATAAACTATTCAGACAAACTGATGCATTCAGATTTTTAGGTTCTCTCAACTATTGTCTTAATAATTGTCCTAGTTTGTTTTGTCCATTTGAATTTGATCATTCACTAAATGCAAAGTGCCTTGTTCAGACAATAAATTTCTCAAGGCAACTACAGTTAGTAACACAATAAATTGATCTGTCATTTCGAGAGTTTTGTCAGAAGTATTTTATAAAAATAAATAAATTGTATGATTATTGTTTATTATATAGTGAACACCAGTTTTTGGATTGCATTTATGCCACATAAAAAGACTGTGAAAAGTCATTAAAATATTTGCGTAACACATTTTGCAAGAATTGTTTTAAATGCATTTATTATTACTGAAATGATCTCATCATTTTGCAATGCAATTGCATTTCTTATTTCCAGTCCTAAAAGAATCATTAAGAAATTCTATTCTTTATGACTCCTAGAAATTCTTAAACAACACTAAAAACCACTCAGAGAACACCTTTGTAACCATATCTCCCTAGCAAACACCTACACCACACTCATTTTGAGTCCCTTTATGAAGCCGTTTTCTTTCTGGAACTTCCCAGCAATGTCGTTTTCTGTCAGGGCATTTGGTCCCCATGGACAGACAAACAAGATCACAGTCACTCTGACCTGTGTTAACTGGACAATAGAGCCTGCCTTTTGAGAACAAGCCAGTGCTAATCTCTCCATGGGCCTGAAAGCTTGTCCAAACGAGAGGCTGTTTATTAAATCAGAGGATATTGAAACATCATTCCCAGGCCCACAACCATATCACATCATTTCTTGCTCTATAAGCACTGTTTAGTTGAGCTCTATATTTCTTCTGCCACCCCATCATGCATCTCAACCTCCATTGGTGTCTGGGAGGCATAAATGGATCTCATGATGCCTCATAAGATTGCCTCACTCCGCGGGTGACCCGAGGCCATTATTGTGCAATTGAATTCATTAGAAAGCCGAGTCAAGGGGGCAAACGTTCAGCTGTATTGATGGCCCACTAGGAGCCAACGCACTCTGTTCCCAGTACAGCTGCTGTTTTTAAGAAATACTGCCACCTTGGGAGTCCTTCATGTCTGGTAGTAATGTAACTCATCGTCTGCTGTCATAATTTACTGTTGTGCGTCCACACTGAGAGGTTTTTATGCTGTACAAAGAGAGTAATTCTTCCTTTCTTTGCGTAGAGCCCCATCTGCCACACGTTCTCATCGAGGACGGAGACATGACGCCGGAGGAATACGATGAGCATCTGAAAGGACGGAGCGACTACATAAAGGCCACGAAGAAGGACTGCAGCAATGAAAAGACAGTGAGTGAAAGACTGAGACGGGGAAAAAGGAAGAAATATGTAAGAATGAGGGTTGTAGAAAACAGTTTGAGTGTGTTTTACAAGGATGAAAGGTAGCAAAACAAGCTTGAGACTCTGAAGAAGTACAACACCGTGGTCCGTGACAACTAGTTTTTTATACTACATATAATTGGTAAAGAAATCTAGAAAAGACTATTGTTTCGTTTTGGCAGCCAGGATCATAAACTAAATAGGATGTGGTACTTATTTAAAAGAATGCTCTCAAGTCGTGGTTTGGGGCAGAGGGGTCTATTAGCAAATTAGCATGTAATATAACAGATTAAAATACTTTTAAGGAATGATTTTGGTCACTGAAAAGAAGTAGCTACCTAAAAGTATCATGGTAGTTTTTTTGACATGGAAACCACAGCTTTAAAATAGATATGTAAGCCTGAAGAGAAACATAAAACTGTTAATAGAGTAAAATAATTCTATTTTAAATAATTATTTCCAACCATGCGAATTCAGAAAATGTTAACTTATTTATTAAATGTTAATATTGATAAATGGAATAATTAATATATATATATATATACAGGTCCTTCTCAAAAAAATAGCACATTGTGATAAAGTTCATTATTTTCCATAATGTAATGATAAAAATTAAACTTTCATACATTTTAGATTCATTGCACACCAACTGAAATATTTCAGGTTTTTTATTGTTTTAAAACTGATGATTTTGGCATACAGCTCATGAAAACCCAAAATTCCTGTCTCAAAAAATTAGCATATCATGAAAAGGGTCTCTAAACAAGCTATTAACCTAATCATCTGAATCAACTAATTAATTCTAAACACCTGCAAACGATTCCTGAGGCTTTTAAAAACTCCCAGCCTGTTTCATTACTCAAAACCGCAATCATGGGTAAGACTGCCGACCTGACTGCTGTCCAGAAGGCCATCATTGACACCCTCAAGCAAGAGGGTAAGACAGAAAGAAATTTCTGAACAAATAGGCTGTTCCCAGAGTGCTGTATCAAGGCAAAAACGCTGCAAAACGAGAAGAGGTGACCGGACCCTGAGGAAGATTATGGAGAAGGACCGATTCCAGACCTTGGGAGACCTGCGGAAGCAGTGGACTGAGTCTGGAGTAGAAACATCCAGAGCCACCGTGCACAGGCGTGTGCAGGAAATGGGCTACAGGTGCCGCATTCCCTAGGTCAAGCCACTTTTGAACCAGAAACAGCGGCAGAAGCGCCTGACCTGGGCTACAGAGAAGCAGCACTGGACTGTTGCTCAGTTTTGCATGTCATTCGGAAATCAAGGTGCCAGAGTCTGGAGGAAGACTGGGGAGAAGGAAATGCCAAAATGCCTGAAGTCCAGTGTCAAGTACCCACAGTCAGTGATGGTCTGGGGTGCCATGTCAGCTGCTGGTGTTGGTGCACTGTGTTTTATCAAGGGCAGGGTCAATGCAGCTAGCTATCAGGAGATTTTGGAGCACTTCATGCTTCCATCTTCTGAAAAGCTTTATGGAGATGAAGATTTCATTTTTCAGCACGACCTGGCACCTGCTCACAGTGCCAAAACCACTGGTAAATGGTTTACTGACCATGGTATTACTGTGCTCAATTGGCCTGCCAACTCTCCTGACCTGAACCCCATAGAGAATCTGTGGGATATTGTGAAGAGAAAGTTGAGAGACGCAAGACCCAACACTCTGGATGAGCTTAAGGCCGCTATCGAAGCATCCTGGGCCTCCATAACACCTCAGCAGTGCCACAGGCTGATTGCCTCCATGCCACGCCGCATTGAAGCAGTCATTTCTGCAAAAGGATTCCCGACCATGTATTGACTATTGAGTGCATAACTGAACATAATTATTTGAAGGTTGACTTTTTTTTTTTGTATTAAAAACACTTCTTTTATTGGTTGGATGAAATATGCTAATTTTTTTAGAGGAATTTTGGGTTTTCATGAGCTGTATGCCAAAATCATCAGTATTAAAACAATGAAAGACCTGAAATATTTCAGTTGGTGTGCAATGAATCTAAAATATATGAAAGTTTAATTTTTATCATTACATTATGGAAAATAATGAACTTTATCACAATATGCTAATTTTTTGAGAAGGACCTGTATATATATCAGTATATATTACATTGTGGCTTCATAAAGGGACAATATACACTCTTTCTATCGCTACTTTATTAGGTACGTCTTGCAAGCACCATCATGCTTGGACCCTGTTTTGCCTTCAGAACTGCCCTAATTTGTCTTGGCAGAGATTCAACAAGATGCTAGAAACATTTCTCTGAGATTTTGGTCCATGTTGGCATGGTAGCATCGCGTAATTGCTGCAGATTTGTCGGCTGCACATTCATGATGCGAATCTCCCATTCCAGCACATCCCAAATCTGCTCTACTGGATCTGTGGAAAGCCGTTTGAGTTTACTGGACTCTTTGTCATGTTCAAGAAACCAGTTTGAGATGACTTTAGCTTTGTGACATCATGGTGCGTTGTCCTTCTGGAAATAGCCATCAGTAAATGATACATTGTGGTCATAAAGGGATGGACATGATCAGCAACAAAACTCAGGTGTTGAAGCGATTGTCAATTGGTACCAAGGGTCCCAAAGTGTGCCAAGAAAATATTCCACACACACACACCATCATTACACCACCAGCAGCCTGAACCTTTGATACAAGGCAGGATGGATTCATGCTGTTGTTTACACCAAATTCTGACCCTAGCATCTGAAGGTTGCAGAATCATCAGAATATTGTACTTATTTGTACTTAATTACTACTTAAGTACAATAAATACTTAAATACTACTTAAGTACAATATTGAATATTGTACTTAAATAGTAGGTCATCCGGGTATTTTTTGCCTACTTTTAGAATATTATGTATTCAGACATACTACTCTTGGCGTACTGTTTTTCGCATACTGGTTTTTAGGGAAGTATTCGATTTCGGACACATGTCTTCCACCTAAAAGCATTGAGTTGCTGCCATGTGATTGGCTGATTAGATACAGTATTTGCGTTGAACAGGTCAGGTGTACCTAATAAAGTAGCCGGTGAGTGTGCTCTGTGTGTGTATATATTCATTTTATTAATGTATGTGTGTAAAATTTGATTAATTATTAAATGTATCAATATTAATGTTAAAAAGTAAAAAAGTATCATTACTCCAGTCTTCAGTGTCACATGATCCTTCAGAAATTATTTTAATATGCTGATTTGCTGCTCAAGAAACATATCTTATTATTATTACCAATATTCAGTTTTTTTTTGTGGAAACCATGATAAAAAAAAAAATCAGGATTCATCGATAAAAAATGTAAATGATCAGCATTTATTTAAAATATAAATCAATTTTCTAATTATGAATACCTTTAGTATCACTTTGGATCAGTTTAATGCATCCTTGCAGAATAAAAGTCTTTAAAAAAAAAAAAAAAAAAAAAAAAAAAATTGCTGATCCCAAACTTTTGTAGGTTCCAGTCATTTTCTAAAATATTCAGGGTTTTTTAACGTCAAGCTAGATTTAGCCTAATGACAATCATACTCAAAATCCAGTATGAAATCAAATTTAGTTAGGTTATCCAATTAATGTAAAATCTCTTGCTGATTCTTGCTAATCATCACTTCAGGAAGTAGTTACATTAAGTGGAAATGCTGGCACATATCCATGTTTCTCAGCAGCGCAAAGCTTCATTTGCTTCCTTAAGTGAGTGCTGTTCCTCAACAGGAGGGAGAGAACATTCAGCCCTAAAATGATCAGCAATGAATAGAGGTTTCTATGGAAACTGTCAAAGGTCTTCAGCTGAGTCCATAGTGTTTCTACCTATTGCATAGCGACATAAGAGTTAACTTCACCACCTTTGGGATGTATTAAATCTTTAAAGCATGAGAGGGGAATCCAAGACCTGTAAAAGATTTTCAAAATTCTGATCTTGGATAACAGCTTCAGTATCTGTCTCTATCAATCCTTTACTGAAGTGAGCTGAATAACATTGAATATCCTCAAAAAGATTATTCACCCAAAAATGAAAATTCTGTTATCATTTATTCCCCCACGTTGTTCCAAACCTGAATGACATTTTCTCTGAAATTGTACTTGAATCTGAATTTTTCAAAATAGTCAGGTGATTAGCAGCTAAAAAGCATGGAAATGAACATCTTTGTGCACATCCAAGCAAGCTCTTTTATACAGGACACGTTTATGTATGTAAAAGAAAGCTATTTCCTCCAAAGGTTATTTTTTTAATTGAGCAGAGAAATGGCAGATTTCCAAGAAGAAATTTAATGTACAATGGAACAACCAATTGAAACGATGTAAAGTGGTTGAAATACATCGCTAATCTGAAGTACTTTCTTCAGAGAAGTGCACAATAGGCTCATTACCATCCTCAAAATGATCTTGAGCTCTGACAAGTGCACAGAAGGCTACATTTCTTTTTATACTTATATAAAAAAATGTTTTTAAAAATATATGTATATCCAGACAGTGCTTGAACAGTAAAAATCTGAACCGGTCTGACTGGGCCAATTCAAAGTTGTTATATATTTTAAAGCTTAATAAATGTTAAAATTGATAGTGTACTGTAATGCTGAATGTCTATAATTAATGGGTAAATTTGAGAAAAAATCTATTTCATAGAGACAGTATTGGTTTCGGTGATACTGGCCTTCTTTCAAAGAAAGATGCCATTCAACAAATACTTAAAATATAGGCTATACTGTCTTTGTTGTTTCTACATTTATTTGGAGATTAAATGTAAAATGATATTAAAATATATAAAAAACTTGAATGTTAGGCGCTATATTTTTTTAATCGATTGACAGCACTAATGTGTATGTTTGTGTATTTATTTATTTATTTATTTATAATTTATAGACCCTAAACTTTTGAACGGAACTGTATGTATTTACTCTATAATTCAAAATGTTTGATGCAAATGTTCAAAATTCTAAATAAAATGTTAAAATGTGTTTCTCACACTTGTCCGTTAAATAAATGCAAGGCAGAATTATATTTGTTCATATTTATCTATATAGACCGTACAAAAAGCCACATGGGGACTTGAGTGAACATTAAGAGATACTATATTCAGTTTAAAAAAATTATTTGCATATTATTTATGTATTTTTCTCATATAATGAAGCACATTTTTCTACAAAATATTGCATGAGAATATCCATCAATAATATGCAAACATTAATATCTCTTAATATTCCTAAAAATCGGCTTTATGAAAAGAAATAACTTTGTTTTAGTTCTGTCGTGTAATGTGTGACATGTTTTCATGAGATTCACAAGTTTTACCCATTATCGCCTTCAGTAATGGCTTTGTCACTGGCTGGTGTGTGTTGTGTAGGTGGACATCATTCGGAAGAGGCTTCATAAAGACATCCTCCACAACCCTGTAGTCATGCTCAACTTCTGCCCAGATCTCCGCTCGACGACCTCTGACCTGCGGAACGTCCAGGGGGAATTCATCTTCCTCATTGACCGCAGTGGAAGCATGAGCGGGGTCAACATCAATCGAGTTAAGGTAGGACGCTTCTGCTTCTGCGTTAAGCTAACTGTGCCCCTCATTCCCAACACTCATTAACTTTTGAAGACATCCTAATTTATTCAATGGTTTAAAACCCCAAAGTGCTTCAGTCGTGTTAATGACCATTAATGGAAAAGGGTATTTATATACACACAGCGGTGCTTATTTACCGATGAGACTCTTCTTCATAAGCCTCAGCCTCAGACGGATCGCCCACTTGCGTTCATAAGCTTCTATCTGATTGGATGGTTTTATGTAGATTACGGGAGTAAACAGATTTATAAATTATTATTAAAGAAGTAATAAAGTTGTTTACTGTTACATTTTGCAAAGTTTAGCATGGGTGTTTATCATGAGGTTCATAGTACCAAGTAGGGCTGGGCAATATATAATATATTTAAAATATATTCATAATGATTTTGCTGAAGAACTTAAAGGGTTAGTTCACCCAAAAATGAAAATTATGTCATTAATGACTCTCCCTCATGTCGTTCCAAGCCCATAAGACCTCCGTTCATCTTCGGAACGCAGTTTAAGATATTTTAGATTTAGTCCGAGATCTTTCTGTCCCTCCATTGAACATGTATGTACGGTATACTGTCCTTGTCCAGAAAGGAAATAAAGACATCATCAAAGTAGTCCATGTGACATCAGTGGGTTAGTTAGAATGTTTTGAAGCATCGAAAATACATTTTGGTCCAAAAATAACAAAAACTACGACTTTATACAGCATTGTATTGTCTTCCGGTTCTGTTGTGGATCCGCGTTCAGTGACGCTGCTGACGTAAGACGCTGCTGATTTGTGTCTGGTGTGTGTGTGTGTGTATTCCGGTTCTGTTGTGGATCCGCGTTCAGTGACGCTGGTGACGTAAGACGCTGCTGACGTGTATGTGGTGCGTCCGTGTATTCGGGTTCAAATAAATATGGCTGGGCAAAAAAATGCAAGTCTTCCTCTGTGTCGAAATCCTGTTTGCGAAGATTGTTTTGTTTACAGCGTGCGTCTCCCTCAGACTGTAAACGAAGCTCAGGCGCACAGATAACACGTCAGCAGCGTCTTACGTCAGCAGCGGCACTGAACGCGGATCCACAACAGAACCGGAATACACACACACACACACCAGACACAAATCAGCAGCGTCTTACGTCAGCAGCGGCACTGAAGCAGATTGACAACAGAACCGGAAGACAATACAATGCTGAATAAAGTCGTAGTTTTTGTTATTTTTGGACCAAAATGTATTTTCGATGCTTCAAAAAATTCTAACTAACCCACTGATGTCACATGGACTACTTTGATGATGTCTTTATTTCCTTTCTGGACAAGGACAGTATACCGTACATACATGTTCAATGGAGGGACAGAAAGCTCTCGGACTAAATTTAAAATATCTTAAACTGTGTTCTGAAGATGAACGGAGGTCTTACGGGCTTGGGACGACATGAGGGTGAGTCATTAATGACATCATTTTCATTTTTGGGTGAACTAACCCTTTAAATAAAAAAAAACATTTTTGTAGTTACTATAACGATTGGCGGAAGTACCTGCTTTTTGGCGTGTTCACACCACAGGAACTGGGAACGATTTAAGTTATATCATACAAAAAGCCATGTGGGGACTTTATTAAACATTTTAGAATGAGATTAGTTAGCTTTTTAGTTTTACTGTTTTTGCTACATTGAAATAAAGAGATATTTTACTGAACATCATGTGGCTCTGTGGTTCTGAACAAAATCACACCATTTGAGCAGCCTGTTGAAGGGGCTCTGTAATAAAATAGCCAGCTTGTTGCATTGAATAGCTCAAGCAGCTACGATAATTGAACTTGGTAAGTCTCCATGCTGAGATTGGATATGTGTGAATGAGTGTGTGCTCGTGGACGGGGCTGTGCAGCGTGACGCACGAGGCAGAGATGACTCACTGTGGTTTTGATTGAGGATGCTCCCCTTCTGACCACAGACACCAAATGTCTCTAATGTAAAGGCTCAGGTCATTCTAGCGATAATATCATCCCAGAATATCCTTGACCCTGAGGAAGACTTGCTCCATGCTGAAATGTCATATTTCCATTGTGGTGGGGTGCAAGAGGACAGCAGCAGATGTATCCAGTTACACTGAAAGGAAGATACATTTATTACAAGGAATAGTTCACCCAAATGAACATTTTGCCATTGTTTACTCACCCTTATGTGACTATATCCTCCGTGTATCACAAAAGCAGAAATGTTGAAAAAATTGTGCTTGTCATCTTTGCTGTGAATTGAGTGAATGGCTTTCAAAATTCCAATAAAGATGCAAAAGCACCATCAAAGTATCATAAAAGTATGTTAATACGAAGATCTGGTATATTCAAAGTCTTCTGAATTCATTCAATAGCTTTGTGTGAGGAACAAACTGAAATTTAAGTCGAAATTTAGTGAGTTGAACTGGAGAAATGAATCTGTGAATGAATCATCCAATCTGGTTTTGTGAACTGGATCATCTGATTAAATGAAAATAGACATTCTCTCATTTACTCTGGTGAAAACATTTAAAGTGATTAACAGTTTCTCATACAAAGCTGTCGTTGGACTTCAGAAGATTTAAAATATTATGTATGGTGGTTCTTCTGAGCCTTTGAAGCTTGAAAGCTACTCTTTTGTAATTGCTTGGGGTTCCACAGTAAATTACTATATTTTAATTTTCAAGTGAACTATCCCTTTAAGAACTAAAATCTTTTATAATTGTGTTTCAAGTTCAGTTTGAATGTGTAAGGAAGTGCTCTGAAAAGATGGACTTGTTTTATTATGCAAATAATAAAAAAATTGGTGATTCGTTTTTTTAATCATTCAAAACAGTGAAAGACCACATTATTGTAAAAACTGCAAAAAATGCTAAAACTCTTCTTTAATAATCACATTCATATTTACAAACTTAATTCTAACCTCATACTCACTGCTGTACTCGCTGTCAGTCTGTCGAAAAGCAGCGCTATAAATTATACCACTACTTTAGACGAGACACAATGGAGGCCTGGATCCTTGTGTTCAATATGCAGTGCTGTCTATTGGCATCAGGTCTGGATGACAAAGATTGCTGGTTCAAGCCAAGCAAGGGTGACAGTTGAAAAGCCATTAGCGATCGACCACTAGTCTAAACATTTGTGGGAACATGCCGCCCTCAGTGTCTATGATGGGTACAGTCCTACCATCGAGCATGGCACTTAACCCTGCAATTAGTTTAATGTGAGTTGCTTTAAATATGCAAATGTTACATGGCAAATTACTAGAATGTCTGGCAATGGCTGTAATGTATTATTAAAGCAATATTAGCATGTCAAATGAAAAGTGGAAACTCAGTGTGAACCTGATATTTTATATATATATATATATATATATATATATATATATATATATCACTATAAAACAAAAAAAGTTCAGTTGCTGCCTTAAAGGGTTAGTTCACCCAAAAATGAAAATTAAGTCATTAATTACTCACCCCCATGCTGTACCAACCCCGTAAGACCTTCGTTCATCTTCGGAACACAAATGAAGATATTTTTGATTAAATCTGAGAGCTGGATCACTGCTACATAGGCTTCCTAAGGTAATGACACTTGACGGCCCAGAAAGTCATTAAAGAAAATGTTTAAATATTCCATGTGCCTACAGTGGCTCAACTATAAGTTTATCAAGCGACGAGAATACTTTTTGTGCGAAAAAACAATGGACTATTCCATTGCTTCCTTGTGGGCCTGAGACGAGAGTTCAAGAGATTTCCAGGACGCATGCGCGAGAACTGACCTTCTTCTTCTACTACACAGCGCGCGTCTTACAAGCAGAGAAAGACGCGTGCTGTACATAGTAGTAGAAGAAGAAGAAGAAGGTCAGTTCTCGCGCATGCGTCCTGGAAATCTCTTGAACTCTCGTCTCAGGCCCACAAGGAAGCAATGGAATAGTCGAATAAAGTCGTTATTTTTGTTTGTTTTTTCGCACAAAAAGTATTCTCGTCGCTTGATAAACTTATAGTTGAGCCACTGTAGGCACATGGAATATTTAAACATTTTCTTTAATGACTTTCTGGGCCGTCAAGTGTCATTCCCTTAGGAAGCCTATGTAGCAGTGATCCAGCTCTCAGATTTAATCAAAAATATCTTCATTTGTGTTCCGAAGATGAACGAAGGTCTTACGGGGTTGGTACAGCATGGGGGTGAGTAATTAATGACTTAATTTTCATTTTTGGGTGAACTAACCCTTTACATTTTTAAGTATAATCAAATTGGCTGTACAAGTCATTTCAGCTCATTTGTTTTTGAATCTTGCCTAGTTGAATCTTGTCTAACTTAAAAAATGGGCAAAACACACACACACACACACACACACACACACACACACACACACACATATATACTGTATATACACTCACCTAAAGGATTATTAGGAACACCTGTTCAATTTCTCATTAATGCAATTATCTAATCAACCAATCCCCCATTTGAATGAGAACATGGATCCATCATGCCTTGTTACCACTGTGCAGGCTGGTGGTGGTGGTGTAATGGTGTGAAGGATGTTTTCTTGGCTCACTTTAGGCCCCTTAGTGCCAATTGGGCATCGTTTAAATTAGGGGTGCACGATTCAGAAAATGTCACGATTCGATTCGATACCGATTTTTTTGTCTCAAGATTCGATTCAAAATCGATTTTCGATTCAAAAACGATTCTCGATTCAAAAAACGATTCACAGTATATAAATGTAGTTTACTTTTTCCTATGTGATTGATTGCAGTAGACACAATTTAAAAGAAGAAAAAAACACAACAAATTAAATGTAGTTTGATATTACTTTATGTCTTCATACAAAAATAAAAACTTTTGCAACTAAAAAGTGCAAAGTGCCAAGCTTTGGCCAGCTTTCAAATACATTTAATTCAAGTTTAAAATAAAACTTAAATAAAAAGCTTTTACATTTAGCTTTAAAGTGCTGTAGTCAGATCAAACAAACAATTATGCTAAATGTGGTTTAAGGACTAACGTTACTTCAGCTACCAGGCTGACTGTTGAAATGTGAACTCGACTGGGCACATTGAACTTCCTAAAAATATACTAATGTCATAGAACCCTTGCGAAATAATTTTAAATAGATTTTAAAAAGCCACCGCTACTGGTAACATCTATGGTTAGATTGATTTGTTTAGATCCAGTGAAGTCGTTCATAGGCGTAATTTGCGGGTATCTCCAGTTAACTAGCAGAGCATTCATTTAGTTCGCTATTAAGTAAGAGATCTGTTGTTTTTGAAATCAAGCTGAGCGCTCGTTGCCGCTGCTATCAGTGTCATGGATACAGTGTTCTCTGTGGCTCGCGCAGTCTTCACTCGGACGCGCTCTTCAATCTATCGCCGTTGTGGAGACTCCGGTAAAATCTCAAAAATAAAATGCACACAAACGTGATGAACATATTCGGTTTTGATGAGAGAGAGAAAAAACTATACGAGTGCGGTTTAGAACCCGTAATCTCTGACACGCTTGGCAAAAGATCTACAGACCATTAAGAACTCAAACATAAGATCTGCGGATCGATGCATTTATTCACGGGTTGAGGAGAGAGGCTGCACAGTTTGACCAGCGGGCGGCAAGAACTTGCAATGTATCTATTTATCAGACCGGCCCTCGCAGCCTCGAAACACTACCGTGCACCGGTAAAAGTCCCGACTCACCCGATTGCCACTCCGCCCGTGCACGCCATAAAAAAAAAAAATGAATCGATTTTTGGAATTCTATGAATCGATTCTGAATCGGTAAAGATTGAATCGCGATTCAAATGTGAATCGATTTTTTTGCACACCCCTAGTTTAAATGCCACGGCCTACCTGAGCATTGTTTCTGACCATGTCCATCCCTTTATGGCCCCCATGTACCAATCCTCTGATGGCTACTTCCAGCAGGATAATGCACCATGTCACAAAGCTCGAATCATTTCAAATTGGTTTCTTGAACATGACAATGAGTTCACTGTACTAAAATGGCCCCACAGTCACCAGATCTCAACCCAATAAAGCATCTTTGGGATGTGGTGGAACGGGAGCTTCGTGCCCTGGATGTGCATTCCACAAATCTCCATCAACTGCAAGATGCTATCCTATCAATATGGGCCAACATTTCTAAAGAATGCTTTCAGCACCTTGTTGAATCAATGCCACGTAGAATTAAGGCAGTTCTGAAGGCGAAAGGGGGTCAAACACAGTATTAGTATGGTGTTCTGTTCCTAATAATCCTTTAGGTGAGTGTATATATACATACCTAATTACAATTTTTTTTATTTTTTTTTATAAGTAATGCAAAATACAGAATTATAGAACCCCCTTACCTCTTCTTTTCATTCCCATCTGATCCTCGTCCTCCCTCATCTGATCTTCATTATCTAACATTATCTAGATAAGATAACCTGCTTCTCTGCCACCATTCACGTTGACCTTTAAGTTTTGTGTGTTCACAGGACGCAATGGTCGTGATTCTGAAAAGTCTTTTTCCAGCATGCTTATTCAACATAGTGGGCTTCGGATCCAAGTTCAAAACGCTGTTTGCCACCAGTCAGAGCTACGATGAGGTAGGTCACCCACAGGGACCCACAGTCAGCGTCCTCAATCATTGCCCTCATTAGATCGCCAGTTACACTGAGACGCTCAAGACGCTCGATGTTTGTGTTTTTCTGCTGGGTTCCACTGGCAAAGGTCTGGGTTTACATGATGAATTTCTATTAAAGTTTCTTACTGATTTCATCAGGCATACAAACACTGCTTATTCAGAAGTCTCTGTGGCAAATAGTTTTTTTTTCTTCTTTTAAGCATAAATCTCATAAAGATTCACTGTGGATATAATAGCAAACAATGTCAGTGTTGGTCAGAAGGTGCTCCCCATTCCTCTTCTTTCAAACGCAACAAGACAAGTTCACACATTGTTACTAAAAGTTTGCTAAGTAGTATTTCCTACTCAAGCAAGGTAATATTTGACTGGTCAAGCCTATGCAATAGGAGCAGACTGGGAGTGGCCTTGGACGACAACATGCCCAGTGCATTATGGGTGTTGAAAGAGTTTTCACTAGTCAGGTAGCAGGTAGCAGTCTGGTACGTTGTACCACATGTTTTATTGTAAGCCCATTTTGCCAGTACTAAATTACCCTTTGACAAATCTCATTTATTTCACAGGAGAGTTTGGTGTTGGCTTACGAACACGTGAAGAAGATCCGGGCGGACATGGGCGGCACAAACATACTGGCTCCTCTCAACTGGATCCTACGGCAGCCCATGCAGAAAGGTCATCCTCGCCTGCTCTTCCTCCTGACCGACGGAGCCGTCAGTAACACAGGGAAGGTCATTGAGTTGCTCCGCAGCCACGCCAAGTTCACCAGGTCAATGTTTGCACATTTACATTTATGCATTTTGCAGACACTTTTATCTAAAGTTACATTGCATTTAAGAACCATCTCATGTAGCACTCGCTAATGAGTTTGGAAGCCATCTCTTGGCTAATTTTAGTTTAAGTTGTAGCTTTTTATTAAGCTTTTATATATTTTTATTTCAAATTTTGCCTTGATAAAATAAAATAAAGTTTAAGTTTTTCATCTAATATTTATATTTTCTTTTAGCTTTTTTTTTTCCAATTTATGAAAACAATTTTTACTCATTTAATTTTAGTTAACAATAATAACACTGATTGTGAATGCTGAAATTGAGTCATGATTCCACTTAAATATTTAAAATAAAGTAAAGGCTTTACATTGACATTAAAAAAAAAATGTGGATAAGAAATTTTTGTGCATTAACTATTGATCCAATAAAGAAGGATAATATGTTGGCAAACTAATGCAAACAGACGTTAAAGGGACAATAAATGAACATTCTGTTATTATTAACTCAACCTCATAAAATATATTTTTAAGAGTTGAGTAGTTGAATAGATCACATTTAATAGCATACAGTATCATTACTTGGAATATAGTGCTCAAGTCATACAGACATTAACTGACATGTCTTTTTTGTGTTAATCACCCCCTGATCACAATATGTTTTTATTTATATGGAAAAGAGCAACTCGGACAGTCTTCAGTTCAAAATATCCCATTTTATTTCCCACAGAGGAAAGCAATACGCATTTGGAATGATTTGCTGATTAAATGACTGATGATTAAAATCTTTCATTTTCGGATGAACAAATCCTTTCATATCACAGGTTCAAGGATACAGAGCTGCAGAGCTATTCAGGTAATAAGATCATAATCAGATCAGCACAGACGCTAGCGACAGTAAATTGATGTCTCTCTCTCTCAAATCCGCACTAGCCATAACGCTGCTGGTATTCACAGGCTTTGTTTCTGCAGTCCGTTGCTTCCTAGAGGCTTCCGTCTCCCACCTCCAGTCAATTTGTCACATGCCGAGATGTTCACCTGAGAGGAACACTTCTTTTCTTCCTCGTCCTCCTAGAGCAGATGCAACAATAGCTTTCTTTCAAAAGAATGGAAGAAACCGTAGGTTTTAACAGCCGTTCCTGCAGTACAATAGACACAAGCTGAGGTCAGACACAAAGATGATGGCTGGGAAATGACACTGCAGTGTAATTTACTGCCTTAAACAACTCTTGCCCTCCCCAGACGATCGAGAATAATCACAATTGTGTCTTACTGCACTTCATTTCGTGCTGTGGGGACACGACTCGGCTTTCTTTGCTTGTTAGGGAAGAATGTTTCCCAGTAAACTGATCAGATGCAGAGATCGCCAGTCCACATTTTAGAAAAATGGACAGATGTTTTCCCTGTTAGTGCAGTGAGCAAGCAGTGCACCTTGTATCTCATACGCAGTGAGCCACAGATGTTGCTGCCTATGCTGAACGTCACTCAATTACTACTGCCTTCAGATACTGTGCATTAGATCTGGTGTTTTCCACCCCAGTTAGGCCAAAATCTAGAGATTGTCGTGAAATTTCTAAAATAATATATCTTCAAAATATTAGCTTGCTTACAAAACCTAGTGCGCTGCCTAGACAGCATCATTGGCACTGTAGAAGAACACAGCATATCTTCATGCCTGAAAGTAGTATCAACACTGACATGACGGTATGCACATTTCAGACCACAATGACATGTAATATTAAGTTTGCTTAATTAGAAGCATTTGACCAAATTGTAAGGTAATCACAAAATGCATTGGGACAAGCTCACTGAAAAAATACAAGATGATGGATGGGTATTTATTTTATTTAAATTATGAATATTCATTATATAGTTACTTTTATACTTAGACATTTAAATTGATTTAAATAGATTTATAAAAAAAAGGGTCTAATGAAAAATGGACTGTTGTTATTTTTATCGTATATATGTACAGGTCCTTCTAAAAAAATTAGCATATTGTGATAAAGTTCATTATTTTCCATAATGTAATGATAAAAATTAAACTTTCATATATTTTAGATTCATTGCACACCAACTGAGATATGTCAGGTCTTTTATTGTTTTAATACTGATGATTTTGGCATACAGCTCATGAAAACCCAAAATTCCTGTCTCAAAAAATTAGCATATCATGAAAAGGGTCTCTAAACGAGCTATTAACCTAATCATCTGAATCAACTAATTAACTCTAAACGCCTGCAAAAGATTCCTGAGGCTTTTAAAAACTCCCAGCCTCTTTCATTACTCAAAACCGCAATCATGGGTAAGACTGCCGACCTGACTGCTGTCCAGAAGGCCATCATTGACACCCTCAAGCAAGAGGGTAAGACAGAAAGAAAATAGGCTGTTCCCAGAGTGCTGTATCAAGGCACCTCAGTGGGAAGTCTGTGGAAAGGAAAAAGTGTGGCAAGAAACGCTGCACAACGAGAAGAGGTGACCGGACCCTGAGGAAGATTGTGGAGAAGGACCGATTCCAGACCTTGGGGGACCTGCGGAAGCAGTTGACTGAGTCTGGAGTAGAAACATCCAGAGCCACCGTGCACAGGCGTGTGCAGGAAATGGGCTACAGGTGCCGCATTCCCCAGGTCAAGCCACTTTTGAACCAGAAACAGCGGCAGAAGCGCCTGACCTGGGCTACAGAGAAGCAGCACTGGACTTTTTTTTTTTGCATGTCATTCGGAAATCAAGGTGCCAGAGTCTGGAGGAAGACTGGGGAGAAGGAAATGCCAAAATGCCAAAATGCCTCAAGTCCAGTGTCAAGTACCCACAGTCAGTGATGGTCTGGGGTGCCATGTCAGCTGCTGGTGTTGGTACACTGTGTTTTATCAAGGGCAGGGTCAATGCAGCTAGCTATCAGGAGATTTTGGAGCACTTCATGCTTCCATCTGCTGAAAAGCTTTATGGAGATGAAGATTTCATTTTTCAGCACGACCTGGCACCTGCTCACAGTGCCAAAACCACTGGTAAATGGTTTACTGACCATGGTATTACTGAGCTCAATTGGCCTGCCAACTCTCCTGACCTGAACCCCATAGAGAATCTGTGGGATATTGTGAAGAGAAAGTTGAGAGACGCAAGACCCAACACTCTGGATGAGCTTAAGGCCGCTATCGAAGCATCCTGGGCCTCCATAACACCTCAGCAGTGCCACAGGCTGATTGCCTCCATGCCACGCCGCATTGAAGCAGTCATTTCTGCAAAAGGATTCCCGACCAAGTATTGACTATTGAGTGCATAACTGAAGATAATTATTTGAAGGTTGACTTTTTTTTTTGTATTAAAAACGTCTCGGTTACTGATGTAACCCTCGTTCCCCGAAGGAGGGAACGGGAGACGTGACGACGTTAGGGGATCACTTCAGGGAGCCCTATCAACTTCGAGTGTCTAAGAACAAGCCAATGAACGTTGGCGTGCGTGAACGCGTCACGCGCCCCCGCCCCGCAGCGCGGGTATAAAGCAGGAAGCGGGCGCGCGCACCCCCTGTTTTTACTGAGGAGCCAAGATAATGACGACCGTACAGCGATGATCAGCAACTGTGGCGGCGGGACGTCACGTCTCCCGTTCCCTCCTTCGGGGAACGAGGGTTACATCAGTAACCGAGACGTTCCCCTTCAGTCGCTCACGTTCGACGTGACGTCGACGTGACGACGTTAGGGGATCCCATGGAAAACGCCATCGGTTGCTGCCACATCCAGTGCCCTACGCAAGACTCTCAGACCCCCAACTGCTGGGGCGGAAGACCTGCGTAGAGGAAGAACAACTGCTGTTCCACATACCCATACAGTGAACTCTTGAATAACACTGGGAAGCGTGCCTCTCCAGGGGAGAGGGACGCTGCGGAGCCACATCCTGCCCAAAGGGAGGTACCATGTGGAGAATACACATATGGACTGGCCGGTTGGGGCAGTGCAACATATGGAATGTCACTGCGGTGGCTCCACCTAAGAAGGGGGAGGCTACACCAGACAGTGACAGCAGAGCGAGCTCTGCCAAGGGAAAGACACGGGCTTACCGCAGGGAGCTGATCGTGGAAGAATACTCATATGGGATCGCCGCAGGGATCACACATACGGAACCCAGCGTAGCACAAGTTACACAAGCATACGAGCACTAGGCCTAGCGTCGGACGCTCCGCAACGTCCGACTGCCGAAGGGGTGTGGAGGAACTCACAGGGTTCGCCTGGGTGGGGAACTCGACTGGAGCAAAAGCGCACGTATCCGCTCCGTGGAGGGGAGTGGCGCAGCAAGCCGACACTAGAGCGGGAACTTCGGTGTTACCGGCTGGTTGAAGCGAGCACACAGGAAGAAACCGGCTCAACACGTAGGCTATAAAACCTAGCGAACGTGTTAGGTGTCGCCCAGCTCGCAGCTCTACAGATATCTGTCAGCGAGGCGCCGTGTGCCAGCGCCCAAGAAGAAGCGACACTCATAGTGGAATGGGCTCTCAACCCGGGCGGGCAAGGCACTCCTTGGGCTTCGTAAGCCAAGGCGATGGCATCCACTATCCAGTGGGCCATCCTCTGCTTGGAGACAGCCTTTCCCTTCTGCTGGCCTCCGTAACAGACGAAGAGCTGATCTGAGGTCCTGAGGCTTTGTGTTCTGTCCACGTTTAAGCGTAGAGCGCCGACGGGACAGAGAAAAGCCAGGGCTGGGTCTGCCTCCTCCGAAGGCAGCGCTTGCAGGTTCACCACCTGGTCCCGGAAGGGAGTGGTAGGAACCTTGGGAACGTATCCGGGTTGGGGTCTCAGGATCACGTGAGAGTTATCCGGGCCGAATTCCAGGCACGATTCGTCGACCGAAAATGCATTCAGGTCCCCTACCCTCTTGATAGAGGCCAATGCAACCAGGAGAACTGTCTTACAGGACAAGATTTTTAACTCAGCTGATTGCAGAGGCTCAAAGAGTGGTCTCTGAAGTGCCGAAAGGACCAGAGACAAATCCCAAGAGGGTATAGAGAGTGG